AAATTTTCATGTCATTTAATGTTTTGTAAAAATAATTACATAAATATCATTTCACATGTAGACAATTTTTACAATATGACACACTGAGACAAGAAATGAGTGGCTTATTGACTAAGTGTATGGGTTATAGACATGAACAATGCAATGTTTATGTACATGGGAGAGAAAATACAAGCTCATTCAAATTCATTTAGATGGCAATGTAATGAAAAATATGATGTTTTGAAATACCGAATGTCCATATTAAGTAAACAAAAAACTTCCTTGTTATGGTTTTTAATTTAAATCAAAATACAACTTATTTTCTAAGTATGTAATCTGTCACATCCAGAGAAACAACTGTTCCCTATATTACATTAATATGGATGCTAAAACAATTTTATTAAATTGTGTTGCTTTATAAAAATAGTCTTTACATTACTAAATGTATACATTTCATTGGGTGTTAATGAATACAATAAGAATATTTAAATCCTAAACACATGACCTAGGAACACATCATTTACATTTAAATGGATAAAGTTTGCATTATGAAACAAGACAACCTAGTTTCTACATCCGTCTCACATCTAGCCTTCTGTAAGATCTGCCCTAATGGAATAGTGATGTGCACCACACATCTATCTACTGACGGAACAGCACACAGCCAACAGATCTTTGATAGGGGAACTGGTGTAAGACTGAAGTTATCAGTGCAAAACTGTTTTGTCATCAAATTTAAATGTCATAAATTTAATACTACATTAGTCCCCTTCTTTTCTTGTAATCTTCTAGGTTTAGAGACCTACGAGGGGCTGCTTCTCTGGGTGTGTGTAGAGGTGTGGTGGGAACAACTACTTGGGTACCTGTGAAGATAAAATATTGTATGATGAACAGTTGTTTTTTTTTATTAAAATGGCATCAAGAAAATAGAATACATATCAAAGTTGTTTTTTGCCAGTGTCACTGTTGGGTTCAAAGTTGAGGGTTTAGGTTGTTTTTTTTTAATTAAAATTGCAGCAAGAAAATAGAATACATATCAAAGTTGTTTTTTGCCAGTATCACTGTTGGGTTCAAAGTTGAGGTTTTAGGGTGAAGGCTAGAGCCAAGTTTAGAATAGTAACAGCATAATACAAAAAATGTTCCACTGGCATTTGAAGGAGTAAAAATGAAATATTTAAGCTTAGATTTTAAACTTGGTTTGGAAATGTGGCTTTTATTATTGTAGTATTGTAAAAAAGTCATGCTGCAAGAGAACATGAAGAAAAACAACTCAATTTAGTTTTAAACATAAATTCTTGATATACTCCACAGAGAAAATAACCTACCTCCAGATGGGACATCTAAATCTATTTTTATATCAAAATCATGAACAGCAAATAGATCTTCAGATAATCTCCGCTCTGAACCATCAGTTTTATCCTGTATGTCAATAAGAATTAAACATTGATCCAGAAATACAAATGATTTATAAGATTCCAAAGAAAATTTTTAAAATATAAGAAAGTCATCATTTAAAATTTAATATTTCCACTTATTATTTTCTTTATTGCATTTATAAAGCATGAGAAGCTTAGCGCTGAATTCTAGAATAATGAAGTCCACAAAGAGTTTGATTAAAATATTAACTGCTTCTTTTATGGTAAAGCAGGTGACACAAATCAGAGGCAGTCTCTACAAAATAGTCAGTCTGAGAACTTACGGTGTATTATGTTCTACCTTAGTCTTGCAAAACTTTACTTAGAGACAACCAAAATACTCCCAATATGGAAAACAAGATTTTAACATGCAACAAAGAAAAATAAATTATGTACTTACAATGGATGTATCATGAATAGATTTTATTACTGGCAATGAAATGCTAAGACTGTCTGGTGGTGGCATTGATACCTTCTCCTATAAAAATAATGTTTTCAAATAATAATACATTGTTTATCAAATATTTAAAATAACTTATTCCTAGCATTAAATTTTAAAAGAAAACACACTCAAGTTGAATAGTTAATAAATTATTAACCATGTATTAAACATAGAGCATTTATTTTTTGTTTAAAATTAAGTATGCAAAACTTACTTTGGCTATCTCTTCTGGCTTTTTGCCACTTTTGGTTTCATGGGTCTAAAAATACAATTGAAACATAGGATATTATAAACATTTTAATGATTTAACAAATAAATGTATATCAACCAACACCCCCATACAAATATTCTTACCCTTGTAACTAATGTAGGTCTACAATGTCTCCTAGTAAAAGGATCAGCTGTAGCATTTCTCATCTCCGCAACTTCAGCTTTCAGTGCATTCTCTGCTTCCACTAAATTTCTATCACGATTTCTCTGGTTGATGTAACTGTTGTTTTTAAAAATTAATGGTAAAGTTTATTGAGGAGAACTGTCAGACACAAAACTGAAAGACCTACTAGGGTAATTTTAAGTTTTCAAACCAACTTTATAAGAACTAAAAATTGTTGTTTCAGTAACATGTATGCCAAGAATTTAAGTAAAATGAGCAATGTTGAATATTTTAATGTGTATGTATTGGAATTTTTTTAACAGAGATAAACATGCACTGTGCCACTTATAAAGTTAATCACACCTAATTGAGTTAATATTTGAAGTACGTCGCCTGTCAAGCTCTGTCGCTCGTTCTTCTAGGTCTTCAAGTTCTTGGGCTAGTTTTAATGACTGCTCTTGATTACCATCCAGATCTGCTTGTTCCTAAAGAAAAGTTAACAATAGTACATAAACACATTTTTCAAAATTATTTCTGGAAAACTAACTATAAACAAAAAATAAAGTAGCAGCCTTATGTATCCATTTTGTCAAGTCTTTTAATGTTTAACCTAGAACATTGCCATTGTGTAAGGGAAATAGCATGGACTTTTAATGGGAAAAAATCCTTTAATACTTACTTCCCTTTAAATGGTGAAAGCAAGTGGTGTTCTTATTAAATTATCATTCATCTAGGTCTAAATTCTAAACATAGTAATAATACTACAAAGATAATTCATAATATAAAATGAAATATATTTTTAAACTTTTTACCTTAGATTTCATTAATGATGCTTTTCGTACAGCATAGTTATGTGGGTTTTTCCTAAATTTTTGCTTTTCTGCAACAATCTGAAAATAAATCATTTTAAAATTATACAAAAATCACAATTAAACAAAAATATTTGGCAATATAATCTATAAAATAAAATCTGAAATAAATTGTAGTATGTCTATGTGTATCAGTATAGTTTATTTTCAGCTTATTACAGCCCAAAATATTTTCCCTCTTAAAACAGGGACAATAAGTAAGTTCAAAGTACTATAATAAACCTCTTCTATATCCTTGTCTTTGATCTTGTATTCAAATGCCTGCTTGATGTCATCTTCCTTTCTAGAGATATCATCAAGTGTGGGTAACTGATGGTGACCAAGTTCCATTGTTTCTTTCCATTTGTTAAACTCTGTGTCTGTGAAGTCTTGGTTAGAAACAAATTCAAGTCGATATACCCGTTCAGCACCTCCATGTCTATGTGGGGGAAGTTAAAAACAAAAACAAAACATTTTATTGAGTTGGTTATAAAATGAAATTATACATCTTACATCAAGTTAATTACAACATTAAGCTCTCTAACAGTAAAAAATGGATCTAAAAAAAATACTTTAAGTAAATGATCTTTATGCAAACAGCAACATACTTCAATTTAAGTCCTTTATTTGTTCTTGTTTTACCCAATTGGTAAACTTTTGCAGTCTCTACAACATCAACAATTTCAGCTACCTAAAATTAAAATGAACATCTATTAAATGAAAGCAGCTTTGATAAAAAGAACCTGTAGATGACATTACGACACTACTTAAAAATTACATTGCAAATGACACCGCAAAATAATTGTTACCAGATTGAACAAATTTTATTATTTTAAGGATTGGTCTCACACCAAAAAAAATAATTTTTTTTTATTTTATGAGTGCTGAAGACTCATATCACACTTAAAATATGCACATCAAAACTAGGATAAAAATGTACTTTAAAATTTTGTTGACCTTAAAAATGATAGTAACTGTTGTAAGTACACAAGTATGAAAAAGTTATTTGTATTTAAGAACTGAAATTTCACACTTATTAGTGACCTAGTAGTTTTGACCTACTTTCATTTGATTCAGATCACAAATAATATTTTTATGAATTATGTGTGCAAAAACAAGAGTGGGGGAAGACTTTAAAATCAATACTTCCAAAAAAATTGATATATACACACAAAATAAAATAAAAAAATATTCTTGCATCAAAAACTAAAAAATAAAAGCAGATTTCTGCTTCGTTAAAATTGTATAAACACGATGGAAGTACTCATTAAAAAAATATCAATTTAAAAAATAAATTCTAGCTTCTGATTTTTTTAAAAATTTAATTAGTAAACAAAATGTATCAATTACTTTAAAATTATATTTTAACTAAATAAAACAGGTAACCACAGCTATTTTAAAACTTGAAAAAAAAAAACTATGCCTAATTTAAAATAATTGGTAGCGAATGTTTATAAAAGGTTCAACAAAAGATAGCAAAATGGGGTGGGATTTTTCAAAAATATTTATGATTCCAGCATTGAAAGAATAAGCTAAAACCTTTCAAAACCTTAAAATTATCTATCCCAAAAAGAAATTAGTATTTGTAAATGAAATTGTTTAGTGTTTAGTTACCCTATAAACAGGCCTTCCTTCATGATTTCCAATGCCTATTCGTACAAAACAGCCTAAGACAACCTTTTTAAAATATGGCATATGACACCACCTGAAAATTAAATAAATATTAGATGCAGCTACACCATTTTTATAAGATTTAACATTAAAAATTTAGAATTAAAATATAAAACAAAATTTGCTAGCCACTTTATTAAATAAAGTAAAAAGAAGATATTAACACTCAAATTCTGTATAACCATACCTTTCCACTTTATTTCTTGACAATCGTATTCTACTCAACTCCTCTTTATTTGTTATGTACTTTATTCTCTTATTCTTTGGTCGACTAACTCTGTTCAATAAGGAATATGAAAGGACTAATTTTTTAACAAAATTGTAAAAATTAAAAAGTAAATTTTGAGCAAATAATTTGCAATGAAGGAATAACTATAAAATTTGTGGCAAGGAAGAAAAGAAAAAAAAAACTTACAAAACAATAATGGACAAGAACAGTTTAAAAAATAAATTTTTTTTGCTATTTGTATTGAAAAACCCATATAGTAACTGCAGTAAAATAGTTGTGAAAAGATATATTTTGTTGGCAATTATTATAAAGCAAAATAAGTAGAAAGTCAACAACATGTATATTTTGATATACTTACTCCTCTTCTGATTCTGATCTGGATGAAGACCTGTCACTAGCTTCAGAACTTGAATCTCGAGCATCAACATCTCTCCCACGATCTCTATCTCTATCTCTCTCTCTTTCTCTATCCCTCTCTCGCTCTCTTTCCCTCTCTCTCTCTCTTTCACGCTCCTTTGTTTCTTTTTTACGCTCTTCTTTATCACTTTTATCATCTTCACTACTGTTATCATCGTCATCATCATCACTGTATATGTCACTGGCCTTAATCTTCTTTTGTGCCTGAATCTGTTCAGCTGTGAAAAAATTTGTTTGGCTATTACAAAATGTAAACTGCATCACCGAAATAGGAAAATTAATAACCCTTTGATATACAAGTCAGAAGTAATTTTGCTGGAATACCTTTCTTCTTCTGCTCTTCTCTCTTTGCTTTTAAGTCAAGGAAAGCTGATGTTTTTTTGTTGTCTTTGCGTTGTTCAATGTGTTTACGTCGTTCTTTGCTTCTTTCACTGACAGTGGGAAGACTTTGATCTGAAAATGGTTTGTTTTTCTTCTGTTCTTTTTTGGCTTTCTTTAGTTTCTTTTGGATTTCAAATCTGGAAGAAAAAATAATTGTAATTTAAAACTTACGTTGGTAAGTAAAATGAAAGTAAATCTCTTTAAAATGAGATGTCTTTAAAAATACCTTTTTTTCAATGCAGCACGACGCTCCATTCGATTAAAAAGCTCCTGCTCTCTTTCTTTCTCTGTCATGGCCTCAAGTCGTTTTTTATCTTCATCATCTCCAATAAGATTCTCGTCATAACCATCATGAAATTTATCTTCATCTGAGTCAGAGTCATCACTTCCTGAATCTGAGACTTCACCTGAAAGATACAAACGAAACATTTACAAGGTTATTTTTTTTTTTTTTAATTTCCCATTTGATGTACGATAAGGATGTACAAAATAGGCCTACACTTTAAACACAAAGCTAAAACGTTTATAATAGCTCAGATTACTAGAATTCTTACCTTCTTCAGGCTCAGACTCTGATTTCTTTGCCTCTTCTTCACCCTCACCATCAGAGGAAGACAAAGCTGTCAACTTTTTAGTAACCTTTTTCTTAGTTTTTTTCTTTTTGGCACCATTTTTACCATTAACTGTCCACTGAAAAGTTTTTTAAAAACTGACAAGTATTTTAAAAATTCTAAAAATCCCAAGTAAAAACTACTTAATATTTAAATATCAAATCTAAACACTTTTGACTAAATTTTTAAAAAACTTACATCATCATCACTGTTAGAGGTCTCAGAGTCTGAGTCACTTTGTGCAGCACTTGCTTTAGCCTTGGCATCTGAGTGAGATTCTGAGCTGGCTCTTCTCCTCTTCACTAAAGCACGAAGACCCTGAAACAGTATGTGCAAGTTAAATACAAAGAGGAAAATTAAAAATCAAACTTCGATTCAGCCAAAAATTCACAGGATCCTGAATTTGGATAACATGTTTTAGACCGTAAATTTTTTACCTGGCTAATGGCTATAACCTACTTTAGACTGAAGGCCCCTTTTTTTAAATTCCTTTAATTACATCATGTTGTATAAATTACCTTTTTTTTAAGACATGTGCACTTCTGTAGCATATACTTTTATGTAATTTGAATATTGCTCATGTTGCACTTACTGTGTGCTAAGCAAGACTATATTTAGGTCAAGATTTTATTTCAACAAGACAATAAGTTAAGAAAGAAAAAACTCATTCTGAAGGAAAGAGGTACCCATGTCCCTGATAAAGTAAATAAAATTAAGTTTTCTTAGTAGCATTTTTGGTGAAAGTTATTTTTAAATAGATAACCGTCTGGAAAACTTGTATTATAAAATGCATTTCCATAATTTGAGATTGCCAACAGTTTGATTACCAAGCTTATCAAGTAATGAGATAACTAGCTCTAAAATATTCTATTACTATTATGGCAGGAAGACTCTTAATTTAACAGTATCAGATCATTCAGCTTATAAAAAAATTCCTAGGATTGTTGGGTTGGCATTTTTGATAACAGAAGGATTAGTTCAGGTGTTAATTTTTACAATTATATATTTACAGAATACCTTGACATATGAATGCCCTGATATATGAGATGTTTTAGATATGAGCCATTGAGTGAGCAATATCTTGCTGTGAAATATGAGATACTACTACTAGTAACTTTGGACAGGATTTTTAAAAATGGCTCACAGGTGAAAGTGAAGAAACGTATCAATAAAAGCATGGACCAGTGAAGGGAATTAAGCAAAAGTAAAAAAGCATATAAGTTCTAGTTAAGGTAAGTGCTATTAAGTGTAGGGATAAAGTGTAGCATTAACAGCGTAATGGGTAAGTGATTTATGAAAGATTTTAGCAATAACAGTAAGTCAATAAAAGTGACTAGAAGAGAATCGCCTTAAAGATTTAACTAGTAAATGTAGCGTAGTTCCTTCTCCCATCACTTCCGCCAGCATCTTATGACTTATGTAAGCCCAGGTTGCTGGAACCTGTTTATTTCTTTCAATTCTCTTCTAAAAACATATAAATACTAGTTGGGTGGCATTTTGGGAGCTGGCATTTCAATAAAGAAAATTGCTGAGATATGAGCAAATTAACGTACAAACAAGTTTATGGAACGAATTTTTGTAACTGGAGGTTCCACTGCATAAGGCAAATATGTATTGGTTTCTTAAATAGTATAAAATATTCAAAAGTGTCCTTTAACTTAGTCTACAATACTTTTGACTCAGCATTATTAAAATAGGCTAAAGGGTTCAATTTAAGACTTAATTTGAAGCAGCTGTAGTTCAGTTCATCAAAACTTAGTGATCTTATTATTAATTACTAAAATACATTTTTCCACCCACTTCAACAATAATAATGATTACAGTGCTCCACATCAAAGTTATACATAAAATTCACCCCCCCCCCCCCCTTCCGAGATTTTATTTACCATGACAATGTGATGTTTCTACGTTAATCGCTAATAGATTTAGACTTTAGATCTAATATATTTATAAATTAGGACTGGGGGTTTAAAAAATTAGCATGCAGTATGCAGCCTAAGGGTTTTCGAAATTTCTGTATTGTGTTGCTTGTCAAGTAACTTGTGTGTTGACTTATTGGTTGATGATGATTCATAATTCTCTCAGTTCTGATTTTCAATTTCATTCATTAGAACTAATAGAACTTAAGATATTAGGGCTTAGGCCCTTAAAAAGGCCTAAAGATAAATGTAAGACTTCACTCCAAAATTTATAATTTATGATTAATGCTAGGTTCTCAGTTACTTAAATGATCTGAAACAGTCATGTATGTTTATTAAATCATGACATTAGACTTTTTTTTTTTATATTTTTTGTGGAAGTCTGGAGACGTCGGAGTCAACCAGACTCGAGCTGCTAAGGCCCAGGCTAGTCGTCAGTGTCTGGTTGATGAAAACAAAAAACGTATTATTAGGCCTACTTCATCTAAATCTTCGCCGCCGCTTCCACTTTCGTCACTATCTGAGTCTATCAAAGCTGCGCTCTTTTTACGTTTAGACATTGCTATTACTGTAATAACTAAGCTCTACAGGAGACAAACATTAAATTTCTTCTTGCTTTTCTTTAGTTAATTTAGTACAACTGGTTTCCTATGCTACTCTTAGATTGTAAAGCACCTTGTGAATGTACAGATTTTTACAAATTTGCGATGAAACTGGAGTATACAATTTGCGTAGTTGAAAATATATAAGAATTAAAGTAATCATTTTAGATTTATTTTTCTTGTCGAGGCTACCGACATATATTTTCTATTAGCTCGTAAATAAAAAAAAATATTTTGCAAAATAAGTAATGAAAAAAATACATATAATTGCAGTTAAAACTGGCAAGCATTCTAAATGTACAGATTATTTATAGTACATTCCCAGCATGCAATAAAATCTTTAAATTAAAAAAAAAAACCTAAAGCAAACTATTTTGACTTTGACTCAACCAAAATTTTTAATAAACAAAATCAACATTCATTTTTCATATAAGACCTAAGGCTTCTTAACTATAATTCCCCTGCTATTTACTATATTTTATTTTTAACAAATCATTTACCTCTAAAGAGAAGTTAATGAAATAATAAAAATAATGGTTGATTCATAACTTAGATAATTTGTGTTAATATAATTTATTTAAAATTGTTAGACAATAGTTCTAAATCTAATGGAAGACCATAATGTCATTGCGATCGGTTAAAGGAAAGACTGTGAAAGCTGGATTTTGGTGGGTTGAGTGTTTAAAAGTAACCACATATTGGTTGGCGAAGTCTAATCTCGACCGTATAAATTATGATCCCGAAAGGGGAAGGGGAGTCTTGACTTTTTGTATGTGTCATGAAGTGGGGGGGGGGGGGGTAGAGTCGTAAATTGGCGCAGTGTGGTAACCTCCAATACTAACAATGTAATGTACTAAAACTATAAACAAACTCAGTGGTATCCCCCGCCCTGGGGGCACTTGGAACATTCGTGGGGAGTTGGAAGGGGGGGGGGGACTGTCACTGGTAAAATTATATATTTTCTTAATATAAATTATGTTTGGTAAAGGTGATTGAAGAGATGCATGAAAACAAAAACACTGAGTCCGATATATTTTTGTTCCCATAATTTTAAATTAATTTTTACAACGATAGATAAATGTGCGTCTGAAAATGACTGATAGATCTATATTTATTCGTAAATAATAAGAAACCATTTTTAACGGAACTGACGTCATCGTAAAAATAATAACAACTTGATGAAAAGCAAAGGGATCCCCCACAATAACAACGAATTGAACAAACAAAATCTGAAAATGCTTCTGTAATTTAATTATTGTGTATTATTTGGTGTAATAAAGAAGTAACTGTCTTGTTATAACCCCCTTTGTTAACCTCTAGATCTAAATTCTAAGTTGTTAGTTTAGTTTAATTAATTTAATAATTAAATTTATTTTTTTGTTGTTGTTTTTTTGTTCAAGACAAAAAAAAACAACAATTGGTTAGACTTTATTTAGATCTGTTATAAGAAGTTTTAGGTTAGTTGAGGATAATAGGACTAATAGGAGGGAATTATTTATTATTACTAAAATTATTACACTTATGTCTTACACTAGCTAGAGCATGGGTTCCCAAACTGGGGCGTGGGTGTCGCTAAACCGCTAAGCGGCTAAGGGCTTTCTGTGGGGTTGCAAACTGGTAGACTATAGACTATACCCTAGCAATGAAAAAAATAATATTTATAAAAATATCTTCTTCGTTCTTAATTTTTAGTGTTGGAAGAGATCGAGAGGGTTTGAATTTGAGACTTTTCTGAATTTATCAATCATGAGTTTTTAGAAAGATATCTGAAATTTGGCATTACTAACATCACAGGAAATGGAATAGAGAAGAAACAATGCATACTGTGCAAAGTTGTGCTCAGTCATAAATCTACGATACCTTCAAAACTTAAATGTCATTTTGAGATGAGTCATTCGGAACACACCAAAAAATATGGAGTTCTTTCATTGCCATGAAGCTGGTTGCAAAACAGCATTAGTGCAAGCATTAAATGAAGTCGCATTAGAAATTGCCAAGCAAAAACAACACAATAGGAGAAAATCTCATCAAACCATGCATGTTGAAGATGGTGAAATTAATTCTTGGGGATTCCAGTGCAGTAAAGATGCAACTACAATAGCTCTGTCTAATAATACTATTCAGCGGTTTATAGCAGACATGTACGTAGATGTTAAGAACAAATTTTGAATGAAATTAGGCTTTCACTATTGTTTGCTTTTCAAGTCGATGAATCAACAGACATGCTATTTTGTAAAGATATTATGCAGAAAATATATATTGTTTGAAACTGGATGATTAAAATGGGAAAATGGCTGTGGGATTTGTACTGATGGTACATCTATGTTTGAGTCAAAATCGCTGGCTGTCAAAAGGAAATATTGTGAATAGTGTTTTTTAAATCGGAAGATGAAATCAAGTTGTTCTTGGAAGTGCAAGGGAAACAAGACCTTTTGATATACTTTAACGACATGGTGTGGTTGGAGAGAGTGTCATACCTAGCAGATATATTCGAACATCAACATACAAAATGAATGAATATTATCTCTTTTCATGATAATCTCGAGGCATTTATATCAGAGCTGCAAAATTGGCAAAAAATTAATCTTGAAAATATTGCCATGTTTGAGAAACTCTGCAGTGTGGTAGATGAATCTGATTGTGAGATAAATAAAAATTTGAAACAGGAGATTTCTGGGCATCTTAAATCTCTAGCATACGAACCGCTGCGTTATTTTCCCTAAGCTGAAAGAAGAAGAAACTGCACTGACATGTAACCCATTCTCTGCATCCCTTGATGTTGCCAACATTCCCGATGAATTACAAGATGAATTCTTAAATTTGGGGAATGACTCCGCGTCATATGAAAAACTGCTCACATTTTTGGTGTAGTACGCACCATTTATACCCAAACGGGAAATTGATTGCCTTTCGCGTTTTAGTTTCTTTTGTGTCTATCTTTGCGAGAATAGATTTTCAACACTTTTCCAATTAAAAACAAAACATTGAAATAAATTAAATGTTGAGAATGACATGAGAATGGCGTTAACAAAAACTAAACTGTGAACGTTGAGGCTAGTTAATACAATGAAATTTTACTCATCGTATTAAAACAGTTATCAAGAATAATTCACTTTGAAATTCTACAAGAAAATCCAACTTTAGTCCTTATAAATTTCCATATTAATTTCGACTTTTTAATTCCATGGGGGTCGCGGGTCACTTACTTTTTGTAAAAGGGGGTCGCTACTCGAAAAAGTTTGGGAACCACTGAGCTAGAGTGTCTGATAATAGTTGATAATACTAATTAACTAATTGAATCTTCTTAAAAAGGGGGTTTTACTGGATTTAGAGTAAGAGTTTTAGTTTTTAGGTTACTTGTAGTTAACTAAAATAGTAATAATACACACATTTTGCTAATGTTAATGCTAACCCTATCCTTAACTTCAACCTAGCATACGCCCAACCCTAATTTCTAACCATAAAACTAGTCGAGATTACAATATTACTAACAACCTACCACACCTATTTTTGGAAGAGTCCTTTATCAGAGGTCGGTATCTTCAATCACCCGATAATAGACTCTTCTTAAAGTAGACGTTTTAGACTGTTAGTAGTACTATTAGTATTGTAAAATTAAGACGACCATGCTAACCTTTTTAAAAAAAATTATGGCAAAGTGTAAATAAAGCACATTATTTTTTACCAACATGGCATTGTGAAGAAAAAGTAAAGATTCCTCTTTAAACCTAGTGATTCATTGGGCAGATGAAGTAGAGCTCATGTTTTTTTTACCTGGGCAAATTAAGGAATAGTGTGGTCAGCACTATGCCAAGCTGCCTTTAATTTCCCTAATGTAAGTTAGGTACCCAACTGAGCTGAGTGGACTCGGGACGTGCCACTTTCTTGATCTCTGATTCCAACTCAAGAATTTCGGGTTAGCAGTATGGCGCTCTACCCCTAGGCCACACGGTCCCATAAGTGACATCATGATTTTCAAATTTTTTACCTCCTCCCCATCCCAAATCACAAAAAGCCAAGGCCCAACACTTAAAATAACGTCATACCTCAACCTTGTCATGGTTTTAAATAAGAGGTTATTAGTATTCTAAAATTGTTTTCATGTTATTTTCAGTGTATTACACATTTATTTACAGGTGACATTGAGAGAAGGAAATAAGTAACAGTGGTTAAGTTAGTAATAAAATGTACTTAATGCATTCACATCATCACAAGACACTTGGGAGAAACTAACTTGTGTTAAGTGTTTTGGCAAAATGGCTAATAATTAGGTAAGTCGTATCTCAACTTGCTTTTGTTTTTAGGTTTTTTTAATAGTATAAATGTCCATGATTTTAAGCCTTTATTGTTTTGTTTTTATGTAATATATAATCTTTCCATGTTAAAACATGAGTGTAGTGTTTTTGGGGTCATTTATAATTAAATCATTTTCAAATTGATTATGAATACACATGAGATTTAATTAAAATTAATTAATTTCATCTTCAAAAATTATTTGTAAACTTTCTAAAATTGTTTATTTATTTTTCATAATTTCAGCATTACTATGTTGAAGTTGGAATAATGAAACCAACTATTAGACGAAGGCCCAAATCAAAATCTTCTATCCAAACATGCCAAGAAAAGTTCTGCTGTACCCTGATTAATTCAAAGGCTACATATTACTGTGATGACTGCAAATCAGCCCAGTGCACAGAATGTGTGAATCAAATTCATAAATCTAAACTGAAGTACGATTTTCACTGTCGTCGCCCACTTCCAGCTGCTCCTGAATCAGAACTGTGCCAAGCAAAAAACATAAATTTAATCTGCCAAGAAAAAAACTTTCCGGATATTTGGTGTGAAAATTGCAAATTGCAACTTTGCTTTAGTTGTTACGACTTGTACCATTCTTGTGAAAAAAGGAAGCATCACATTAATGTTACTATAGCCTACCACCAAAAAAAGCTTCAAGAACTACAACAGAAAGATTCTGAACTACAGAATTCAGTTGAACTGTATCAAGACGCAATCACTGATATGATAAAACCATCTGCCCCTTATTCTCTAGCAGATGAGGCTGATTCTATGACATTTTGTTCATTTCCACAGGAATTCGGTGATTCAAAGAATAACATGGCTTTCACTTCCAGTAACTCCAGTTTCCATTCAGATAAGAGCTCTCTCAGCATTCCAGATATTTGTCAGCTTTCAACAGCCTATACTCCTGCTGCCACTTTTGCTAATTCTGCCCCTAGTACTAATAGGGATAAAGACTGTGATGTATTTCAAAAGAGTTTTCTTCTAGTAGATGCAAAAGAGGAATTTCAGGCAAGTTATCCTACCATTACTTAAGTTTTTTCAGTTTTTTAATCTTGGTCCTATATTCAATACTTGAATATGTCTGGAAATTTCAAAACAATATGTCATGTTCATTTTCACAACACATTTTGTGTTTAAAACGTATTGCCCAAAATAATTATGAATACTTATAAAATGTCTTAGGTAAACTAATATTAGGGCATGAAAACTCTTAGTAGGTAAATACAAAATTGAATTTCTTTTTAGTTAAGTCTCTACTAATTAAAGTCCTCATCTTTCAGTTGATAGTTACAAGCTAATTCATTTTCTACTAGTTAGATTTCATATTCTTCAATTTATAAATTGGTCATGAAATTTGAATGCAACCATCATAACCTAGTTTCTGTTGTATTCCCTATTTATTTCCAAGGCTAACAAATTTACTACAAATATTAATTTTGATTTAAAGAATTTGAAATCTCCCCTTTGTATCACTAAATTTCTATCATGCTACATTTTGTTTGTTGCAGATAAAAGACCATAAGGAATTTATTGACAAGCTAGGATGTCATAAAAAAGATACATTTAAAGTTATTTCTATATTTGGCAACACAGGGGATGGAAAATCCTATACTTTAAATCATGTGTTTTTCAAGGGCTGTAATGTTTTTAGAACATCTCCTAGTCAGGACTCTTGTACAGTAGGAGTTTGGTGTGCCCTCTCTACTGATTATAAAGCTATAGTTTTGGATACAGAAGGGCTGTTGGGAACATCGGAAAATGCAAACCAGCGGACTCGTCTATTGTTGAAAATCCTTGCAGTATCTGATATAGTAGTGTATCGTACAAAAGCGGAAAGACTACACAATGACATGTATGTGTTCCTCAGCAATGCTTCCAAAGCTTATTGTGAAAGGTTTAAAGAAGAACTTATAAATACATCAAAAAGAAATGGTATAAGTGAAGCTAACTTGGGTCCTTCTTTAATTGTTTTCCAAGAAACCAATCGTACTGATACATTAGAAAAAACATCTGGTAAGTTATCAAGTTTTGATAAATTATAACTAGATGTTTAAATGATTTATAAATATTGAATTAAATGATGGTTTTGAACAGAATTAAAATATTCAAAAACTTGAAAGAAGACTTCAAAGTTAAAGGAAACTATTAAAGATTGCTAAAAAATTTGTAAATATTACACTTTTGGGCTATTCCTTGTTACATTAAAAACACTTTAAAACTGTTTATTCTTTTCAGAAAACCAATCACAAGATTATGCATCACATGAGTTACGAAAGAGGTTCTATGAGTCAGGAAATCTTGTGAATGCATTTCATGAGACCCTCTACTACGTTGGCATTAGGACTGAACCACATAAAGATACAGACTTTACTCATATTTCCAAGTGTATTATAAAAAGGCTTCAAGATAATTCAGTGAGAACACCAAGAAAAGCAGAGATTATCTTTAAATCTTTAAAGGTTTGAAAGAACTACTATTACCTAAATGCTTTTAGTTATGTTGAAAATGAACATTTGTTGTAGTTACACATTTTTATTACATTGTAACAAATGTTTACAAAAGTGAATATTTTTCATGTAGGCCTAATCCATACTGTTACTTTTAAGTTTTACATTTTTAGCAGGAAATAATTATTAATATTTTAATTGTATTAACAAGAATTTTGTATTTTATCTTATTTTTCAGGCAATAAATGACAAATTTAGTGGGATGATTGAGACACCAAGTTTCAACACATTTCCAGATGAATATTTTACTTGTACCAGTAAATGCTTAGCTTGCAAGTATGTTTTTTTTAAAATGCTTTTATTCTTAAGGTAAAAAAAACAAAACATTATTTATGGTTTTAATTAAATTTGAAATAGTTTCTTATTTAATTGCCAGAAAAATCTTTGACCAGTGTTAGTTATTTTTCTTAAATCTTGACAGAGATGGTTTTTTGTTTCCTCTAGGTCTAGATGTAAACTAAGCATGAACCACGACACTGAAAGTGAGCCTCATGATGCAGGTCGGGATGTGCTGTGTGAGTATCAGAGTCAGTATGGAAACAAGGTTTTCATGTGCAAAGTAAGTCTTGAGTTCATCCATGTGTATAAATATAACAGTACCGGTCTCTTTAGACACAGACAGATTTATCGTGTCTTTTTAATGATATACATTTATTTCCATTAATGTTAACTTAAAGGTTTTTAAATGGCTATTTTTATTTCATTTAATGCGTTTAAAAAATTTGATACAATTTTTTTACATATGCTATTTTCCAGACATGTTTACGCAACAAAAAACAAGTAATAGTTATGCCCAAAACATCTTCGTCATCTGACAACTCCTGGCTGGGTTTAACTAAGTACATTTGGTCAGGGTGAGAGGAAACATTTTTATTACTTTGCGAATAATTTTCACTTGACTAAATATGGTGAATATATAATAGTTTACATGAGTTGAGTGTATTTTCTATGATAAACTTGATTTTGAATAGATATTGTTTCTTACTGTATGATATTGTTACTTTGTACATTATCATCTGATTCTCTTTACTGTGTGCAAATTACAAGGACTGAATTAATTTTCCCAGATTTTCTTGTTTCTTTATAGTTATGTGTATGAATGTCCAAACTGCGGTGTAATTTATAGAAGTAGGGAGCATTGGTTTGGGAATGAAGAAGAAGAAAAAGTGTTACATGTAGAGTACAGACATGTTTGGCCACAGGTATAAGTATATTGAATGTTTATTTTACAAATTGTGTTTCAACTGTGTTATGTGAATGCTACACAGTTATTATTTGAAAAGTAAAACATAAAGCCATGGTGGCAAGCTCAAGAATTTCATTGCAAGGTTAAGGTGTGTGTTTACTCATGAACAAAGTATCTCTTTTTAATCTAGTTAATTACTGATTTGCAGGGACCAACTACACTAGATGGCACACATAATGCAGCACGCAAAGTTATTGACAGCTTTCATTATGTAGCAGATACTATCAGCAGTGTTGGAGCAAGACCAACTAAATATATTGCTGAGTGGACGGCAGATCAGATCAACCCTTCGTACTGGGTACCAAACTCTGAGATTATTGTAAGTTCTTTTTCTGGTGTCTATTTTTTATATTGTTAAAACAGGTGTTTGTTTTTGTTTTTTTTGTTTTTTTTTATTGTTAGTTGCATTGATTAGCTAAATAAATTTTAAAGCTACTTTTGAGACTACATACATTCTATAAAAGCAACATTAGTGAAAACAGATTTTAGTTTTATCTTAATTTCTTATATGTACACATGTATACACAGATATTCATCACCCTTGAAATATTTTAAAAATAATTTTGTGCATTATTGTTGCAGAAATGTTCCAAACCTGAATGTCAAATCATGTTTGACTGTGCTGAGCAGAAGCACCACTGCCGATCATGTGGGAAAGGATTTTGCTCAGACTGTTCCTCCAAGAAAAGACCAGTCCCAGAGAGAGGATGGGGCCCTGAACCAGTCAGAGTATGTGATGCTTGCTACTCCAAGGATGAGAAAGGTACAAGCAAAACCTCCATTTCTAAAACAGGTGACTTAGTGTGCAGGGTGTTATGCTCTAATTAATTTGATTTTAAAGTTTTTAATTTCAAGTTGAGTTATTTTTTCTTCAAACTACATGTCTTAACCCTTTGAGCCCAACAAGCCAGAAAACCGGCTTCAAGATTAGGCATATATGTCTGAAAAGCCGGTTTTCTGGCCCAATGATCTAGCATCATTGTCCTAGGGGCTGTTATACCGTCTTATTAAATACAATTAGCGGCGGACTGAATAAAATGTCTTATGTCTTTTTAGTGCGGGATTATGATTCTAAAAATAGATTTCGGGGAAAGGTGAAAGTAATAGTGTGTGCATTTCGTAAAATACATTGTAAAAATAAAAAAATGCAGAATCTTGCTGAATTGTTGTTTGATACTGAGCCTTGACATCAAATGTGGCTTGATTATCTCAAATGGATCACAAGTTATAAGAATAGTTAGAAGCAGAGAAGTGAAAATTGGTTTGGGCCTGGGAGCTCAAAAAATGGGAGAAATTAGGCCATGGAGGCTCGGGCTCAAAGGGTAAAAATAGTCTAAAACTAGCAGTCTTGAAGTATTGGATAGTTGATAAATACACTTGCAAATTATGGATCTACTTTTTTTTCATGTATGAAAGAAATAAACAGTGAAGAGTCCCCACAACAAGTAGCTTTAACAGCTAGAAAAGTTGGGGAAGTTGTGACCTCGACTTTTAGTGCTGTGGCTTCTGCATTGGATTATCCTATCGGTAATAACTAGAATTAAAAATGTTTATTAATAGATTAAATAGTGCATTTAAAAAATGCTTATGGAGTCTCAAATGTAATTTTTAAAATATAAGCTAGCCATTACAACCAACATTTTAACTGTTATAAAAACTGTAACATCTTTATAGTACTTACTAACATGCATGATTTATATCCACTTCATGACACCTGGATTATTGAACATGTTTTTCCCCTGTTTATTGAATTTTTATTGAGACTTGGGTTTATTAATGACAGTAATAAGGCATTATTTTTTATGACATTTTACATATAATTTTTTTAGTGTAACCCTTTGTATGCATACACATATATATATATATATATATATATATATATATATATATATATATATATATATATATATATATATATATATATATATATATATATATATATATATATATATTGGTTTTTGTTTAAACGTTTTCCCTTTTTCATTATAGTTTTTTAGTGTCCTTGTAAAGAAATATGCAATTTTAATTTTTTTCAGGAGTGATTAAAAGTTCAGCGATGCCATCATATTGGGTACCTGATGATAAGATCACAGCTTGCTGCGTTTGTGAGCAGCAGTTTGGGTTTCGGCTGGCTAAGCACCATTGCAGAGCCTGTGGTCAGGGTGTGTGTGAGAGCTGTTCTCGCAACAAGCGTGCTGTTCCTCTCAGAGGCTGGGATTATCCGGTCCGAGTTTGCGATAAATGTGAAAGTAAAACAGACAGGATATAAGCATAACAATCACAATTTTTTTTACTTTAGATATATTTGAAAAATATAAACTACTGAAGAATATTTTTAATATGTGATATCTATGGATAAATGTTTTACTTGACCAGTTGCAATATTTATCTTTTCTCTGTTGGATGACAATAACTTTTTTTAATAACAAAAAAATTAAATTCCAGTCAAACTGTTTAAAAATTAAAATAAAGCTTGATTAATATTCTGACAACTATTCTAAGTTAATTAAGTTATTAAACTATCAAATTTACTTCCAAGTTTTTATTTAAAAAGCCAACATTAAGTAACACATTTTGTAATGAATTATATGCATAACGTTAACAATTAAATGTAACAATAAATAGATTTGAGACTGAATACAATGAAAAAATGTCTAATTATTTCAATTTTTTTTTTTTAAATTCTTTGAAAATGTTTAAAAAAACTTTTGTATGAACAAAAAGTTATCTATAATATTATAACAGTACAACTGCCAATTTCTTATTCTACCATAAATTTATTTTATACTTTATATGGGATAGATTGATCAATTTAAGTTTTATTTTTTTTTAAAGTTAGTTTTATAGAAATGTAATTGCTGGTCTTTGATATATTTCCTTCTGTATTACCCACATTCTAATAGTAAAAATCTGTGTAGTGAAATGTGGGTCTTGTGATGAGCTTATTGTATGCTGTTTTATGCTTTCTATGGTGGTGTGTAAAGTATTTAAAATGTAGGTTTGGTGAAGGTAAAATTGAAAATAAAACTGAGCAATTGCAATCCTTTTTATTTCATTAAATATGTTTGAACTGAATGTTTATTGACAGCAGCTTTATTACTTATGCAAGGGAAATATGGTTCAATATGAAAAATATCTCATTTTTTCCCAAAGCTCTGACTTAACTCTAGACCAGATTTTTCACTGCATTGTTCTGCTTTTGTTTTTTAAACATTTATTTTGAAACTTGTACAAGAGTTCTATTACTGTGTACAGACCACTTCTTGAGTAGTATAAAGACTGCATCAAAATGATTTTGGCATTTATCCAATTTTATTTATGTCCTTTTTGAAGTTTTAATGTGTTGAATCATATTTTCAATATGTGTGTTATCCACTAAGACAGCTGACGTACTCTGTAAACAGTAGGGTCAATAGCTTCCTGTGGTAATACATGCAGTACTAAAATTTATGGGATTTTTTTTATAATGGTATGTTAATGATTAAATGCTGTAAATATTGGTGCAATATGATTTTCTAAGCATTTGTATCTTTAAATTTGTACAATGTATTAGAGGTACAGTTACAGAAAGTGTTAAGTTTGGAAGCAGTAAAGCTAGTAACATCTACTAAAATATTTACCAACTGAAGAAGCTATTTAAAAAGGATAGATTAGCAATTAATTACATCCAATAAATCATTGCAATTAATTATTTTAATTTTTGATTATTTTAAATGCTTTAGTTTTGCTTTAATTACTTGAAAACATTTTTAATAGCCTACAGTTGATTTAAAAAAAAAAAAACTAGCTTCCTTTTTATAAAACAAAGAATTCTTAATAACACTAATGTATAATGGTGTTTAATATTGAACTACAAAGATTCATTAAAAAGTGTACTTTGTAGATTGACTTTGTGATTGTTTATTTGTATGTTAGAGTTTTAAAAATTAACATCCAGATGACATTAAAGGTAAAACAACATTCAGAACCAGATTTTATTTTATTTCTGATTTGTTTTGTTTTTTAGTTCAAAAGAAGGTTTGGAAGGTATTTCCATGTGTTTATAATTTATTTCATTACTTTTAAATATAGCTTAGTATTGAAATTAATTATTAATACTGTTAGCATTGTTGTGATCAAGGCAGGTAAAATGTATTTTCTGTTTTTGTGATTTTTATAAATTAGCAGTGTTACATTGCTTACCCTAATAAAACCCTTGATTTCTTGATATACTTTTCCCAATTTATTACTTAACATAAATTATTAAACACTTTTAAAAATCTATTTTTATTTATTCTAATTTAAAAGTTTACGAAAATGAGATTAAAATAATACAAAGAGGTGGTGACCTCGATGGATTATGCACTGGCTTAATTTCTCCTGTCTCCATCTGCCAGATAATTATATTTAGAAACTGGTAATCAAAGAAATTTGAGAAATCAATTTATTACAATGGTTATTTACATTCAGTTTATCTTATGAAAATACATATTATAACAAGTATGTGCATAATATACATCGTAACATTGGACATAGATTAATAAAGAATAACAGTGACAATAGTAAAAATAGAATTTTCTGTTAACATTGAACTTACTCCAAAAGAATGTAACTTATTTAATGTGAAAATTATTGTAAAAATCCTTTGAAGTTTTAAGTATTTACAAAAGCTCAACTTTCACCCTTCACAACTAGTACAAATAAAAGATTACAGAGAAAGTAATTTAACCAACAAAAGATACTGTATTGGTCCCTAGGTTAGCTATGCTTCTTAAGGCACTGCTTCAAGATGCAAAACAAAATAAATCAACTTTATATTAGTCTAATTTCTTTTTGGAGACAAATAAACTGAGTTCCATTAAATTCATAGGCATATTTGGCCTAATTATTATTTCAAAATGCATTATGTAAAAATTGACATTAAATTAATTAAAATGTTAATCAATTTAACAATACATACTAAATAGGCATATATATAGAAGATAATTATAGCTATGTAACATTTTCATTAGATTTTTCGGTATACCAGTTTTTAAAAATTAGCTTGTCATCTAGAATCTACATTTAGCATTATAAAACCAGAATTTGGTTTACTAAAATTACCTAATAACTAAATTAAATCAGCCTCAAAATATTAGTGAGGTATAATATCACTACGTAGTATACTTGAGCACTAAGCTGTTTGACAAGAAAATTGCACAATTTATAATATACAGTTCAGTTAAGCAAGGCATCATAAATAATTTTAGGTTTCATATTCATTATTACTTTCAAATGAAAATTTTAAAAATTTAATTGAATGGTAGATACAAGTAATTGTAAATCATTTTAATTTCCTTTATTTTTAATATGCTGTCATTACAAATAAATATGCATGTTAAAAAATTAGCTTTAACTTAGGATAGATTTGTACATCTCATATAACTAGTCTTGCAAATAAATAGGACCGTAACCTTGACAATTCATGAAAAAGGGAAACGAGATCAGCTGAAAAACTTCCAGTACGTGACACCAGCCAGTATTGCCAGTTCAATTAAAACGATCACAGCCAGTATAAGCTTGTTGGTCATCACTCTGTTATTTAAAATGAGAAACTGATCAGTCAAAGTCACCACAGGTATAAAACAGCTTCAACTAACTTCCCTCTAATATTTTACAAATATAAAAACTGAGTAGTTTTAAACCAGTACTTTAAAGTAAGTTCATTCAGGATATTCAAATTAAAATTTAATTAAGACAAATTTTATTTTTATCTTTCACTTACATGTGATGTTAATGACCTTACCTTTTTAATTGTAACTTCAACAACCTTTTAACTTACACAAAATATTAATGAACTTACCTTCTAGCCATTCCTTTGAGTATTTGGTTACTTTTTTTCAAACTGGAGTCTGTTTCTACTAACTGTAAAAGAAATTCACATTTCTCCAAATAATTCATTTTAAAAAGGTATTTTTTAATGAAGTTAATTTTCTAGAAAGGCCTATACAATAGTTACCTGATTTTAGATCCTATGACCCATAATGGCAAAGGTTTTAAGTTATAGTTATAATAATTGTTTTTAATGTTTAGCAGTACCACATATACATATATAATGAACAAACAGTAACAATACTCTAATCCTAAGGGATACTGGCTATAAAACTATGTAGGTCTGGCTAGACGACTAGCACACAACCAGTCTAAAATGAAACGGTGGATAAAATAATGAAACACATTATGTTTACCCTGTCTCGTGTTCTAAGTAGTGTTTCTCTTTGTTGTCCCAGCTCATCAATTATCTCTACGCCAATTTGATCTGTTTCTGCAGCTATTTGGTGTGACCTAGCAATACTTTCTGTTGCTCTTTGCAAAGACTGATGACCTTGTAGCAGCTTTCCACGATTCGATGTCTCCAATCGCTAAAATTTAAAAAATTACTCTCAAGTAAAAGGAACGTAAAAAACAGAAATTAATACCACAAGAAGCAATTACTTTTTTTAAAATTTCAAATTATTGTTACATAATTTGTTTTTATCTGTGTATGTTTATACCGAACTTGACTTTAATAGGGTGGGCAAAATGTTATTAATCAACATCTCCAACAATCTAAGACATTGTTCAAATGGTCAGTTTTTGGAGAAAAAAATGTTTAATTAATGACCTCACATTTTTACAAGTTACAAGAACTTTTCAGGGGAAAGTCCATTTTTATTATAAAAATAAAGTTGAAATGAGGACCAAAGATTTTATTTTTCTTTCTCTTCCGACTGAGAACTTTCCTTTTATCACTGCAGACAAAGCAAACCTCCTCCTTCTTTCCCTCCAATAAAACACAGGTGCAAAAAAGGGATCTGTGACTAGCAAAACATGAATGCCAGGTAGTTGGACACCTTAAAAAGAAATCACTGCTTTATCTAAGATTTACCTCTTCTCTGTCAAATCCAGAATTGTCCATACCACTAGATCCTGCACCACCTCCCCTTTTCTAAAAATTAAATGAAATATCAAAATTAATTTTTTAATACATTCATATTATTATAACAAAAGCATATTGCAAAATCAATTTATTTTAAAATGTTCTTTAAACTTATAAAAATATCAAATTATTTTATTTAAAACTAATTATTTTTTAAACTGTCTAACAAGTCAATTTAAAAGAAAAGACATTTTAAAATCATACCAAACTTCGAGAAAAATGGTCTATGTCATTTTTGTAGTGTCTAATTCGACCAAGCATTTGAGCACGATAATTTACAGGAGCAAACTTTGCTTCACTTTCTAACTCTTGTACCTGTTAATTTCAATCAACATAATCAGTTTTAATAATGCTGACTAACAAAAGAAATACTCAATGATAAACCGTGCAATGGAGTAAAATGTTTTGGATTATATTTAGAATCGACCCTTTGAATACCGGACAGATCGTCCCCCCGGCGTGGCCTGAACCTACTGGCTGGCTTGTTGCATTGAGTTAAATATGATATTTCCAAAAGGAGTTTTTTTTTGTTATTGCTAATTACAAATCCATGGCACATTGTACATGTTTTATATATGATTACTTACAATTACATTTGCTTCTTCTAGCTTTCTTTCCACTTTCCGTAGCAAACTTTTGCGCTCTTCTGAATAGGGCAATTTAAAAAAATAAAAGTATATTACATTTAATCTAAAATAATGATAGGGAGGATGTTTACACCAGTGTCCGAGAATGGAATCTTCTTTAAATAAGGGGTGTTAGGTTACTGGTAGTTAACTAAATACACACATACATGGCTGGCTAATGACACTAATGTCAATGCTAACCTTGTCCCTAACCCTAACCTTGGTCCTACAGTATGCCTAACCCTAATCTCTAACCATAAAATTAGCCGAGATTACAATGTCAATCAATACTACTATTTAAATAACAACCCAACACCTTTTTCAAATAAGATTGCATTATCGGACACCTGTATCAGTATGATAGTACCTAAAATAATCCTAATGACAATATATAAATAATAGGAAAAAATAACATGATTATAATCTACTAATACTAACCTAGTAACTAAGCAAAAACGAAATCAGAAATATTAATTAATAATGAATTTTAATAGGCTAAAATTTTGGTAATCTATCGTTTCAGGTATGTAAAATCGCCAGCGGTTAGTAAAATACGAAAAAGTTACATCATTGTCAGGCTTTAATAGAAGTATAATATTGTGATATATTTGTGTCAAATATTATAGATAAATGAATAATAAACCTAAATCAATGGCTAAATATATCAATATAGGCAAGAAATTAACTTTAAACAGCAGTGTTTGCAAGTAGGATTTGCTAGATTAAAAGCGGCCATCTGTCCCCTGAATCTTGCGCTATAAGTTAACAATAAAAAAAATAAACATGACGGCTGCTATAGTAAATAAGCATGGTTGTATCTGTCGGAAACATCGCTAGTCTTCATTTATTACTGTAAAGTTTTAGTTCAATTGTTTAAAAACAGGTACATAAATGAAACAAGGAAACATTTTTGTATTTTTCAAAACTTAAATTCTCCTCAAAATGTGAAATAATTATTAAAGGTTAAGGAGTCACCTGTTTTTCACATTACTAGTCGCGGGCGATTTTACGTACCTAAAACGATAGATTACCAAAATTTTTAGTAGGCCCCCTAAAAAACTTGTTTTCTTTTTATTCTGTACCAAAATATTATAATTATAGACATACAGATCCCATTACGAGTGATTACGGCTACGAAAACAAAATTTCTAGCAATATTATTTAATCAGTTAACCTCCACTTGACTGCTGTAAACTCTGTTCGCATGATTTAAAGCTGTTAATTATAGTGTTTAGGTCTTCTTCTAGTGACTCAAACTTTTCGGACGACATTTTGTTCGTTTATGATCATGTGACTTCATCTAGATGTATCCTTTTTTTTTTCTTTTAAATTTAGAGGCACTACTAAATTGTGAAATCAAATTTAAATGCGCACGCAGACCTATATATATATTTAGAATAATAAAACATGAGTATTTTACTATAACTTTAATTTGATATTCCTAAGGATATTCCTAGACTAATCCTACTATAACGCGAGCTTAGATTTAGCGCTTTATAATTAATAACTATTTATTAATTATTATCACATTATCAACAAAATAGCACAATAAAAAATTCAACGACGACAACCAGAGGCAGAGGCGTAGCAAGGGGTGGGGGGGGGGGGGTGGAGCGAGGAGGGGTACATATGTCCCCTCCTCCCCTCTATTAGACATCGTCACAAAAAGACCCGCCCCGCCCCCCCCCCCTAAAATGACGTCACACCTCAGCCTACAACACCCCTTAAAATTGCAGTTTTTGTATTAAAATACTATATTTTTCCAACATCTTGTCTGAACTCTGTATTTTAATCAATTCCTATTATAATTTACTAAAACAGTTTTATAAAACGCGAAATAACGGCTAAAATTCGTTTTCTAACATTGCTTTTTACAAGCTTTTATTTAACTCACTTCCTCTGTCGTCAGTCTAGATCGAAACGCAGGAGTGAAAATTCGGACAGTTCTACTTGACCGATACGATTCACAGTTGGCACGTGGGTCAAGACATGAAGACAATGCAATCTGAAACTAAATGTGACTTAATTGGATGCCTAATTACTTTTTTATGAATTAATTAAAATTTGGACCGAATTAGTAGGCATGTCTATCCAACCACACCACACGCGTCATCACTTTCAATAGCTGCGCCATCAGGTTCAATAGCTGCGCCATCACGTTCAATAGACGCGCAATGGTTTTAGTCATGTAACACTATTGTAAATAAAACATGTAAAGTACTGAAAAAAAATTCATAAAAAACGTTTTAATAACAAGCTTTTATGCACTAATGCACTAAAAAGTAGAAAATAAATTATACACTTCTTCTCAAATATTAGTAAAGGTATCCAATAGATACTACAGTAACCCACGCTTTTCTTTAAAGTTATTTAAATAGTAGTGTATAATTTATTTTCTACTTTTTAGTGCATTAGTACATAAAAGCTTGTTATTAAAACGTTTTTTATGAATTTTTTTTATAATGCAAAAGTGTGACGTCACACCATCTGAACCCCTGCCCCTCATCACACAACGTCACAAAATTACGGACCCCTCCGTGTGTGACATCATTTATGGACGACCCCTTATGTGAATGGGGTATAATTTTATTATCACTGTAGTCTATTTATCATTTATTTTCAAACTGGCCAGAGGATGCCCTTGCAGATTGATCAATTTTCTGCTACCTAATAATCCCATCCTCCAGCGTAAATATATATATACACACACACAAACATATATATATATATATATATATATATATATATATATATATATATATATATATATATATATATATATATATATATATATATATATATATAGTGTTTAGTTTCATGCCCACTTGTTTTTTAAATAGCATTTTCTTCTATTATTAATTATTATTAATGCCCAATAGTCATATATATATATAGTATTAATTTCTTAGTTATTTAAATACTACTTGTGCCATGACAACTTAGTCTAGGGTGTCACACAGTTTTTTAAAATGTATTATTGTTTAAGAAGACTTAAAAACTACATTTGTTTCACTTAAATGTGGTACAAAATTAGATCAGTTGCTTAGAGTAGAAATTTCTTTTTTTTTTTTTAATATGTGATTGGCTATCATGCTAAAACTATTCTGACATAGCTCTCAAAACGTGTCATCTGCTGTTGTTTTCCCTGTTTAAATGGCGGGGTTAGTTGGCTGTTGCCTTGTTTAAGTTACTAATTTAATGGGTTTTCTTTAAGCTTTGAAATAGATATTATGATGTAAAATAGTTTAGTATGAAAGGCATTTAATTATCTATTCTTGACACAATCATTTGGTGGTTTGAATAAATGCTTTTACATACAAATAAACATGTAATTCTCACTTTATCTTCTGCTGTCATATACCTACTGTATTGGATGAATACACTGCTGACAGAACTATTATGATAAATATGAAAAGCATCCATTGTTTGATTAATTTGCAAGATAGAACAAATTTTGCTAGATCTATATATTTCTTGAAATGATGACAAAACTTTGTAAAAATGAAGCTTGGTCTTTTTTTGGTGAACATCATTTCTACTTATAGCCACTGTTTTTTTTAATTTGGTCAAAAGAAGCCAGAACTTAGTATGTTAAAGATTTGTATTTACTTATTGCATTTTGACTGGCTCAGGAGAGGACTGACTACAATTTAACATTGTTAAATCAACTCCTAATTAGATAGCAATTTAGAATTTAAAAATATGAATAAATTATAAATAGTGGAAAAATAACTCCAAATGTGGTACAAGGTGCAAAATAAATCAATTTATTTATAAAACAAAAAAATAAAAAAGTGCAATAATAGATAATTCTATTAAGTCATAGTACATAAAAAGTATGTTAAAGCACAATGCAAAAATATTTTGTCATAGCTGCTTTGCTTACACAATGTTAAAGATTAAAAGTCCCAGAAATAAACAAACCTAGAGTTATAAAAAAAGGTATTTAAAAACCATGCAATACAATTTGATAGATTCAACCTCAAGTTTTACAAGCTATTTTAGTACATCAACAAAAAGAAAGATGCAAATCCACACAACGTAAAACACACAAAATTGCAAAACATATCAAATGTTTTGATCAAGTGAAGTATAAGTATAATGAAAGGTTTTATAAAGATTTCAATAACTTAATAAAAATTAATCCGCTGTGCTCATAAAAATATATAAAGTATATAAAATCTGTTTTCTTTTTTATTTCACATTTAAAAATGTTCACTCTGAGCCTAAGGCACATTAAATTATTTTTCACAAATTTAAATTTTAATACTATATTTATCACCAGAATAAACATTTATAAATATTGTATATTGCTTATTATTACTAGCCTATAAAACATTTCCACCTATTAGCAAGTGTTATACTTTTTTATATAAGTAAACAGTTGCACATAGTGTGATATAGGTGTACATCATTATCATCCTTCAACAGCTCAGTTCCAAGGTTTTCATTTAAATACAGTAGAATAGTTCAACACAACTTTAAAGCAAACACAAAATTCTTCAACAGTATAGTAGATATTCAGTGAAAAAGCTTAAATGGTTATAACGCATTGATCACAAAAACTCATTTTCGTTTTATGAATGAACACTGCTGACATAGTATTTAGCAAAGTATAGCTCAGTGGCTATATATAAAAACTACCTTTAACATTTTGTCTATGAATAGTCAGCCGGTTTAAGTTTTAAAAAAATTACAACTTAACGGCCATTATCATTGACAATGAATAAATAACAATTAGGCCTAGACAGATTCTTAAAACTCTTTTACTGTGTATTTATTTTTGAAATATATACTTTGTTATTTCTCTTTAATAAATAATTTACTTACTAGAAAGGACAAAAGTTAACAGCGTGGCCAGGTTATAAAGCATATGAAAGTCTCAAGTTTAGATACTGTACTAGAGTAGGTAGGATGTTCCTGAGTATACCCAGCTCTGATAAATACCTGACATTAATTAGAGAAAATTAAGTTCAAGGAATCAGGTAAGATCTACTTCACCTGCTCAACTGAACATCAGGTTTGAAGGATAGAATACTTTTTTTTAATAACAAAAAATACTAACTGCATCTTCTAGATAGATAATTACAATTAAAGATTTTAAATTGATAATAAAGCATTGACAATAATACACGTGAGCTGAAATGCTTAAGAAACAACGTGGCATTTCCAAATAAAATACATTAAAACAATGTCAGAGTAGACAAATAAATAGAAATGTGGATAAGTAAAGTGAAGATCATGTTTGCTTTTCATATTGATATATAATAAAGAGACTATTATGCATTTTTAAAACACCACTTCTTTTTAGATCACACAATTTTTCATTAAAAAAAAACAATATACATTTGATAATTTCAACAAATTGATGAGCTTATGTTCTTTTCTAAATATTTTTCCAACTTTAGTTGGACATTTCAAAAATAATTTAAATATTGAGTATTGTGTATAGTAGCAAAAACACTGAAAGCATTAGGTCAGAATTTTTTAAAAATTACTATTGCCATTCACAAAAAATAACTTAGCACCTTTCTTTTTTATGCAAAATCTATGGAAGACAATTTTTCATTACCGTTCAACAAACAATTACAGATCATTTAAACTTCAATATTTGGGTCAGACCCAGCTCCATATAATTTTACCATTTTTTCTTCATTCTTCGTTTTGCTTTTTTCTGTTCTTGTATGCCAAACTAGGACCTGGGAAGAAATATTATAAATAGATTTAAAATGGTACATTTTTAATCAAGCTGAACAGAGATGACTCAGGTTATCAATTAATAGAAACTGTATACAACAATGGTTATTAATAATGTGTTTAAATAAAAAAAATTATTTAAATGAAATTTGTTCATAAAACATTTTTATTTTATAAAACCTAATTCATTTTTTAATTTAAATATTGTTAAACTCTTTCTTATTAAATTTCACTCCAATCCGCAGAGCTAAAAATTAAAACCTTTTTAAATAAGTGTTTATTTTTATTTTTAAAAAGTGTATGCACTTTCAGTTTATTTACCTCTGTACACATTTTAGCTTTTGGTTCTAAATCTTCTAAAACTATCTGCATGCCAGATAACAATGTAGATTCCTGATATCCTCTCTGTACAAAATTTGAAAATCTGGCATCAGGGTAATTATGAATGAGATTAAGATTGATTGCAAAACCTGCCATATCCAGAGCAAATGGCCGCTTCGGCTTCCAGTAAGTAAACCAACCTACAACCTGAGAATAAAATATTCAAATATCATATATGCAATAAATATAGACAATTTCTACATTTCTTTTTACAGCTATGTGCCAGATGGAACACACACATTTGTTAATAGCCAGACATAAACATTTAAAAACTAATTTGTTTTCAAAAAATTGTATTACCTTTCCATCTTTTATAACTGGGCTTTCATAACGAAGATAACCTACAAGACCTACAGGCCATACAGACACCTTCTTGGTATAACGCATCTGTTAAAAAAACATTAGCAACTATTTACTTGCGTTGCTAACAAATTTTAAGGTGAAAAAAATATTAAAATTTAAAAATTACTCTATAGAATTAGGGCTACAAAATCCTATTGTCTCTAAAAGTTTCATTGATTATTGTAAAATCTTAGCAGAAATGTTAAGTAAATAGGGAAAAATTCCTTTGCCAATCTGTATATTTTATATAACACATTTGTGGGACTCCGTGGTCTAATGGCAAAGAGTTTGTCTGCTAACCCGAAGGTCTCATGTTCAGAATTGAGACTGTAAGATGTTCCTGAGTCTACCCAGCTCTGATGGGTACCTGACTTAAATTGGGGAAAGTAAAGGCGGCTGGTCATATTGCTATCCACACCATCTCTTCATATGCCAAGGTTAAGAAACATGCCCAGTGGATCATTAGGTCTAAAGAGGAACTTTACTTTGTATAATGAATTTATGAATTAAAACAAAAACAATACCAACTAGTTCAGTTTTTAAAAATAAATATTACAATGTTTAATGTATGCTTCAAATGTTAACATACGTGCTTTTCATGTTGTGACTATACTGTTTTATTTTGTAGCTGCCTATTACTGTAGGACAAAACATTGATTCTTACCTCTTCAAAAAGTTTCAAACTGTATGTATTATCATCATCAGCAAAGTACACAACACCAGGCTGTTCCGGTGAAGTGTTCTTCAAAAGCCAATCCAGGCCAGCATTACGCTGCAAAACCCCTCTTGGTTTCAACCAGTTTGGATCCTCATTAGCCAGCTTATACTGGGCTGGTGTTATCACATTTAAATGAGTGTAATTAAGGCCTGTTTGTTGTAGAAAATTTGTGACCAGCTGGCTTTTTTGTTCTGTATCCTCAATAACAACCCAATGTACATTTCTGACTAGCTTCAGGGTATGACTAAATCGTGTTAATTCCGCTTTCTGTTCTAGTCTAGTGTATGTTGGGGTTATAAGATAAATGACAGGTAAACCCTTAACCCATCTTTGTGAACTGCCAGCAGCCACAAGTTGTTCTTCTGCCTCAGAGAGTTTTTTACGGAGAATTATCTGATCAGATTTCATTTCTTCCAGTCGATTGGCGTATTTTTTAAGAAGACTTTTTGTGGCAGTGAGTTCCTGACCGTCACAATCACGCACTGAAAATAATTAGAAGTGTGATCAGAGTGTAATAATCTGTAATATGGTCAGAGAGGAATTTTTTATTAGTAAAATAATTAAATTAACTTACAAGAATCACTAATCATCAAACCCAGAAGGAATGTGAAGATGACCACAAAGACACCAAGAAACCTTGTTCGTGGAAAAATGCGATTCATCATTGTTCTCGTCACACTAAACAATTGAAGCTTACAAAAGATTAATTTTTTTTTATTATATCAGTTTCCCAGCATCATTTTCTAAAATTACTTTCTGTACAAGCATTAGTCAACATTTTTTTATTCAAAATATCTTTCAGCCCACAGAATCCAATGACTTTATATCTGGATGAATATTGTGCATTATTTACTATCTGAGATTTCTCTCAATAGTAATTGAAGGGTAAAATCTGAAATAAGAAAGTTAAAATAAGTAAAATGGATGAAAGATAATCATGATGAACATTTATTAAATGAGCAATGAATTCAATTTATAATAAAACAGAATGTCTGTGTCTGGTTGATATTTCAAGTCGACCCTTTGTATCCTATTCCTAAGCAGAATCTCTCCTCTGTCTGGCCTCAACCAACCAGTGGGCTTGTTGCATTGAGTCAAAACAATAATATAATCTCATTTAAATAGGTCAGGCCAAATACATGTATATTGTGTGTCATTATCTCCCCACCACAGGTGCAGCTAGAGGATGGCGGATGGGGTGCCAAGCGCGGTAGAAAAATATAATAAAAAGCTTATTTTGAGCTACATTACTAAATTACATACAGTTAAAGCTAATAAAATAAACCGCTACTTGGCTTTATGGGCTGTTTTCTACGTTATTAACTGTGTGATACTAAAATAAAAACTTTTATGGGAGGGTGACAGTAAAAAGCACCAGGTGGGCGGGGGGGGGGGGGTTGCTAACGTGACTAAATATATAAATGGGGTGGGGATGTAAAATGTATAGTTGGCCCCGGGCGCAGAATGTGTCGCTACGCCTCTGCTCCCCACTTCATTATTCTTTAGTTAATTTACTAGATCTAATTGATTAGAAAATGAGACTTCAAACTTCTTGTGTGATTATCAGAATTCTAGACTTATTATTTAAGTTATTACTTAGGCTATAGACAAGGAGTCTAGAATCTAGATGTAATTTACTAGATCTAGCAGCAAAAATTATTTAAATATTTTTGCTTTGTGAATAGAAAGATGGATTTAGATGAATATTGGATAGAATAACATTTTTTTCAATTTAACAATACAAACATTAAATTATTAAATATTAAATTAATTAGGCCTACTTGGGCCTAGGCCCCCTGCCCCTAATTATAAAATTAATTTTTAATAGTAATACAGAATGTTTAAAATTTGGATAGATTGATTTTAATTGCATGTTAAATACTGCTTTACTAATCATTTTGTATTGCTAATTATTATGAATTAGGCCTAAGTGTTTCTGCTAAATAGTTTCCTAAAAGGAAGTGGCTATTGGGACCCGGCATTAAGTTCGTTAACCTGTATTAAAATGATACCTTTTATGTTTATTTGATTTTTCTTTTGGATTCGCGTATTTTGTTGTTTTTTATTGTAATTAGTTATGTGGCTTATTTTGCGTTAGTTCTTGTGGTTTTTCTAAATACCCTATATTTAGGTGTATATACAAAATCATTAAATACTTAGTAATTATTGTAAGACGTCTTGGTCGAGTGAAAAACGCAGTACCTCCTGATTCTCGATCAGTTATGGGATCGAAACCTATCAAAGCTCTCGTTCTTGCGTGATGTAAAGTGTATTTACCTAATTTTAAAATTCCATTGAGTTGTTTGCATAAGTGTCTATTTTTAATTATTGTTTTTTAATAGATTAGATATTTTTTTCCTAGGTTTTGGTTTTTAAACACACCAAGTATAAAAACATCGTAGCTCCATTGATCGCCCACTCACATTTTCTGGTCAGCGCAAGAAAATAACGACACGGTCTAGCCAGGGTCACTGTGAGTTCACTTTGGTTTAGATGTGAACAGTGTAGGCGTATAGCATACGCAGTGTTTCTTCCAGACTTTTTTCTCCGGGGGGCACTTGAAATTTTCGGGGGGGCGGTAAACTTTCTTCGGGGGGGCGGACACTGTTAAAAGTATATATTTTCTATATAAATAATATAAATTTCATTTTGTTCGGGGGGGGCGGTAAAAATTTTTAGGGGGGGCTTAGCCCCCCCGAAGACATGCCTGGAAGAAACTCTGAGCATACGTCATAGCAAGACCATTGCTATGAGTTTGTCGTTGTCGTAGTTCCCCCCCCCAACCCAGCAAGAGGGAAAAACGGATTTAGGGTCATTGTGAGTTCAAATGTTACATACTGCTTCTATTAAAGCGTACTACAACGCATGCGAGATATTCGTGTTCAAGAAAACGGGCCCCAGGAGCTGTAGCCTGCAGCCTATATGAGCTATCTTATATATATATATATATATATATATATATATATATATATATATATATATATATATATATATATGGACGGATAGACCTGTGAAATCAAATTACGTTAAACAGAAGAAAAAAAAAAAAAACACATTTTTACATGTGCGCTAAAGATTCGCTCTGCCGTAACATTTGTTGGTAATGATATCAGGTATTTTAAGCAAGATCTCAATATTCAATGTATCATTTAGAATTACAAGGAAAAAAATCACAACAGAAAAGATATTATATTCTGCATCTTAAAAGATTTTTTTGTATAACTAATAAATCTTAACAATTCTATTGGCTGGTCCCAATAGATTACCAAAAATTGCCACATGCCACACTTACTGTCACTTACTTGTGACTTGACTTGACTGACTACAACATTGAACCAAAAAATTACCGGATAATTTCCGACGCTAAACTAACGTTTTACCGTACTTAATATTATCTAAGTAGATCTATTACAAATTTAATAATTTTAATTAGGCCTAGATCTATATCTAAATAATACACAAGATTTGTTGCTTCTCGGATTTATTACCGTCACAGCCCCGTTGTAATGTTCTCATGGTCCACCGAAATCAGATCAAAACGACCTTTCAACCGGATGTTGATTTTACAATATTAACAATTCGCATTATTTACGACAAATTACAAAATTAAAATGTAGACACTGACCTATTTTAACTATATAGGCCTATATTACTTAATAACATAAACCACGCTTGGCTACAAAATTGAATGTAAATTATCCCCCGCCTATTACTTCCGATCATCACCCTCCAGATCAACTAACCCAGGTTAATTAGCCCGATAAATCACCCCGTCACCCCCCCCCCCCCCTCCCATCTCCGATATTTTAGGAATACAGCAAATTACAACAACAAAATGGTAATGGGGTCATCCATAAATGACGTCACACTCGTAGGGGGGGGGTCCGTAATTTTGTGACGATGTGTGATGAGGAGGAGGGGGGGGGGGGGGTCAGATGTTGCGACGTCACATTTTTGCATTATAAAAAAGCAATGTTAGAAAACGAATTTTAGACGTTATTTCGCGTTTTAGATAGCTGTTTTAATAAATTGTAATAATTTAGACAAGATTTTGGAAAAATATCAATGTTTAAAAAAAATTCAACTGCAATTTTGAGGGGGGTTGTAGGTTGAGGTGTGACGTCATTTTAGGGGGGGGGTCTGGCTTTTTGTGATCAAAAAAAGCGTGACGTCATTTATGGATGACCCCAATGCTTTGTTAAAAAAAAAAAACATCCGTGAAGATTTGTTGCTTAAAAGCGAGCGCAGACATTTAAATACTTTATAGTATGCGATACACGATTTTTATAGGATAAACGACGTTTTGTTTTGAAAACTTACAAGCAAACAAAAAAGTTATAGCGTGGGCCTCCTAACACACTGAGTTGAAACAGTCCACAATCGAATTGATGGAAGTCATAGCTACACGGCCCTTAAATTTAAAACATACTATTTATTATACTTGATAAAAAATAATATACAAATGAGGCTTGCCGTACAAGAGCTGCATACACGTTATATCTAAGCTAACTCTGAAGAGTAAGGGGTTCCACTGGAGGTGCCATATTCAATGAGGCCGTCCATTTCGATGGAAGACTTAGTGTCGGGTGTCGTAATGACGGGAGCCGTTTTGTTGGGAATCGTAATGACGGGAACCGTTTTGTCGTGAACTTATTTGTCGGGAGCCCTTTTGTCGTGAACCTATTTGTCGGGAGCGTTTATGACCAGAGCCTATTTGTCGGGAGCCGAAATGGCGGGATCTTATTTGTCGGGAGCCTATATGACGGGGACGATTTGTCGCTGATCCTTTCGATGGGGTCGATTCAACACGGCTCATTAATCACCGTTATTAAAAATGCGTGTGCCTGAGAAGTGGAAGACTGATCAGACTTTGACACACGAACCAGTTATGGTGGAGATGGGAGCTCAGATTTTTCTTTTCCAGTCTTTGCCTTGAAAGATCAAAATTGCTCCCTACCTATAAATAGGCCTATTCATATTGCCTATCTTATTTAATGGTTCAGGGGCACTGGCGTTTATCTACTTCTTCTGCCATGTAAAATATTATATGCAGTGGCGTAGCCAGGATCGTCTCATGGGGGGGGTTCAATTTTTTTTCCAGCATTTTATATATATATATATATATATATATATATATATATATATATATATATATATATATATATATATATATATATATATATATATATATATATATATATATATATATATATATATTTATATATATATATATATGTGTGTGTGTGTGTACATATGCATGTGTAAAGGCGTGCGTGTAAAGTATTGGTGGCTGGTGACAATAGAAACTCGTGGGTGCCACCGACTAACTTATCTTAGTATTAGCTATTGTTTTGTAACAAGTAACACATGTACACTATCGTAAAAAATTATAAAAATCAAATTTCCATCATTTTCAGCAGTTTTCTCCAACTAAAAATTTCCTTGTCGGCCGCAAAATATTAGAGATTCTATTATGGGCGCTAATCTTAAACGATTTTCTTGAATTTGTTGACTTATGATAAATTTAAGGAGATTTTAATAAGTTAATTTTTTTTCTCCATCACCGATTTACGATTTTGGGAAAGTAAAATTGCTCTTTTATGATACTCACATTGCTGGTGCTCATTAAACTTGTCTGTTGCCTTTTTCCAGTTTGAAAATGAAATTTTTGATAGCTTATCCATAGGCTGACTACCTACACCACGATAATTCAAACTAATCAAAACACAATATTTGCAAAATGCGCCATCAAGTAATTTGGAATAAGTCAACCAGTTCCACCTACCCAGCTAACACAGTATGTAATACCAGGGTCGGCCCAACCTTGGCCCAATGTTGTAATCATGGCCAAACATTGGACAAGCTTACGCCAGGGTACAGCCAAGATTTGTACATGCTTGCATCCCTTGATACCTTGATATTTAACCGTTTTTACCTTGGCTGCCAAGATTACACTGATTTATGGATTCACTGCAGAAATTTTAGTTAAATATGCTTGTTAAACTTAATATATGTTAACTAAAATTAATTTATCTTTTAATATCATGCTCTAATGTAAACATAGCATCAATAACAGACTACGTTGCATGTGTTAAACATTTTGTTAATCTTTTTAAAATTGTGTGCGCTACTGCCACCGGCCCCCTGTCGCCCATTGTCCCTTTGTTCACATTCCTTCCTATTGTTCGCAAGCCAGCATCCCGGTCCTGCGCCATTTTTCTTAACAAAAGACTTTGTATCCAGTCACAGTAAAACAGGTAGGCCCAATGCAGCCATTTTAGTTCAACAGTGAGAAGTAGTATAACTGTATTTATGCAGAATCTGGAAAACTCGTATTTTTTTGTTGGAAACTTTAACTTTATGGGCCTAAGTCATCAAATAAAAGTTATAAAAGGTAGTTTATTTGAGGTAATAAAATGAGCCTAGATCTAGATCTAGTCTAGATCTATATATTAATAATACTAGAGTCTATATTCTGTTTATTTTGGCATTAGGCTATAATTACATTTTACAATAATCTCCTTTATGATAGATTCTAATAATACTAAATAACTAAAAATCGTAATCAGAGGGCGGTTAATTTTGACAGCACTTTTTTTTTGTATTGAAAAGTATGCAAGTACGTTTGGGGTTATATTGATTATTGATAGATCGATGTATTTATTGGTTTTCAACTTTAGGTATAATTATCACGCACAGGGAAAAGGGGGGGGGGGCTTAAATGTTTATAAATTAATAAATAATCATTCACTTTAACTTTTTAAAAAAACTTAATTTTATTGTTCTAGGCCTATTTGTGTAAGGATTTGAAACTGTCTTATAGACACAATTATAGAACAAATTTCTACATGTTAAACAGTGTATTTTGATAGGTATTAATTTTGAAAAAAATTAGTCAACTAGAATTCTAAATTGATTCAAGATTGTCATTCAAATTTCTATTACCTTTACAGCTCCCTATGGGAGAATAAGATGTCATCATCATCACTCCTTTGTGGCCCCTGGGGAGCAAAGGGCTGCAACCACACATCTCCAGCGGACTTGATTTTGGGCTGCTCCTCTAATCTGTGCCCATGAGAGCCCAGCTGTTTTCGCCTCCTCCTCAACCGTTCTCTTCCATGTTTTCCTTGGCCGGCCCACCCTCCTTTTTCCCTGGGGATTCCAGTCTAATGCATGTTTTGATGAATAAGATGTAAGTTGTGTAAATAGTAGTGTGGAGACCTCAGAGCAACACTTAATTTCATGACCAACAGCGATAAGATGGTACTATTAGTAAGCCATACTTAATGATCAACACTACTCATATTATCATATAGAGGACAGAGTAGGCAAATGGTTGAGGACACTATTGCTAAACATAAAGCCAAGTTAGTAGTACATTCATCAGTTCACCTAAGTCTGATATATACCCAATTTAAGACTATGAAATAAAAAAGGTGGCTAGATATAGTGTTGACTACACAATCCTTTCTATACAGAGATCAAATAAACAGAGATACTTAAAAATTAGTATCTAATCTGGCTATCATTTATTGTATCACTCACTCATTTTATTATTATATTTAATAACTAAGAATGCCATTTATTTTCAGGCCTCCAGGTGTTGTGTATATCAATCAGCCCACTGGAGACATATCAATCTTTTAATAAATTATAAGGTCCCCACTGCTTGATACTTCACCAAATACTGGCTACACCAGAAAATGACTAAATGTTCTTAACACTTAACAACTGTAAGTTTACATTGTTTCAAAGTGAATAATAATTTTCATTTAGTAATTTTTGCTTGCATGTAATGATCAGCATGTGTAGTTAATGCCTTTACTGATATTAGTAAAATAATTTCAGACCACAAGCATTACTTCTGGGTCACTCTGAAGGGTCTAATCGTTCAATTACTGAATTGATAAAGTTGATGAAATTGCTCAAAAATTGTCTGGCACCTTCTTTACTCAGAGACATAGGGTAAGGGGTTTATAATATTTATATACATACTATTATTTTTTTTATTACCAGGTCTTTTTTTTCACTTTAGTTTATAAATATATATATATATATATATATATATATATATATATATATATATATATATATATATATATATATATATATATATATATATATATGCAGTATAAGTGTTACCTGGGTAGCATGAACACCCCAGACCACCAGTCTTTATACCTATATAATATATCGTTACAAGGTAGCAAACATGATGTTAGGGGCTTCTTGTTGTATGTTCAGTGCAGTGCAAAATAAAATAAACATAATAAATTTAGTGCAAAATGAGCAGTGTATGGTTGTAATTATTTCATAAATGACTTTTAGTGTGTAACTTTTCTTTTTTAGAATGTGGATGGATTATGACATACCTTGCACAAATCAACAACCACGCTTTTATTGGATTTGAATCCCAAAGGAAAGAGAAAGTTTGTTATCCAAAACAAACATGAAAAATATCAGAAACCAACAAAACACAAGCAGGCAGAGTGTTATGGACACAACTTTGGGGAATCTCCTAAAACCAAGTATAAAAATAGAGTTGTGGTTGTGTCTCTCAGCTCCACAAGGGTCCACAAGAATGAGGACAACAGTGATTTTCGTAATAATTTTAGATCAGATTTAAAAAAAAAATTGATCAGATGGATCAGGTTAACAGTTTAATACATATTGCATTTAAGTGCTTAACGAAAAGAAAAGATGCTCTTACCAAAATAGTCTAAGAACAATGCTGATTTTAAATTAATAAATTGTTTCCTTTTGTAATAATATAATAATTTAAGTTGGCTTTGTATGTATGTTTAGTGTAGATTTAATGCCCTAAATGAAATATACAATTGACATTTTTTTCTTTAAAGAATTAGTTGCAAATTTCTTTCATTATTTAGTTTCACTGTACAATCTGAAAAAAGCTTGCAACATTTGTATTGACAATACTTCTGCTGGTGATATTTATTTCTAATTAATGAAGTAAATTAATATATATTCAGTTTACTATAATTAAATACCTCATACTCGAGACGAAAAAACATTTATTGAATATCGCAGTGATATTCCTGTTCTACACAATGCGTATAAACCCTCGAACCATCTGTCTTTTGAAAGATTGTACATTTTGTAACACAATGGCATTCATTTCAACACTATTTAACCACAATTATAATCTAGAGATCCTGAACAAATTTTCGTTCTGTTATTTATGGACAAGGCAGACTGGTCCAGCATTAAAATGTAAACCTTAATTAGAATACTTAAACGAGCTATGCAATTAAATGTTGTTAGACAAATATTTTATACTTTTTATTTTTAATGTTATGTTTACGTATCATAGTACAAGACAGCTTCTGTATTCTTGTACAGTAAATTAAGTTTTTACATTAGTTTAATTTAAACTGTAGGCCTGCTTAACATCTGTTACATTATATGAAAATGTTTTGTATATTTGTTTTAATTTGTTTGTATAAAAGTCAAAATGAAAGTTACTACACTATTATTTACATATTCTTTTTCAATCAATACTTTATAGTATAGTTATAATTTTCTTACAATTGAATGGATGGTATAATACAGATTTTAATAGATGAGCAGTTCTTGTGTATGTATTGCTGCTTTACTACATTTTGATTAAAATTTCTTTCACATTTTGAAATTACCTTTGTAAATATTATGACTGATATGAGAATGGATCTTTTTGTATGCTAAAAATAAAAATTTGAGCCAAGATGTAGCCAGGATAAAATACAGGCTGAGCCAAGGTATAGCCGAGATATAGCCATTATTGGGCCAAGATGTAGCCAGGATATAATACAGGATGAGCCAAGGTATAGCCAATATTGGGCCAAGATATAGCCATTATTGAGCCAAGATGTAGCCAATATTGGGCCAAGATGTAACCATGATATAGACAATATTGGGCCAAGATATAGCCAATATTGAGCCAAGATGTAGCCAATATTGGGCCAATATGTAGCCGGGATATAGCCAATGTTGGGCCAATATGTAGCCGGGATATAGCCAATATTGTGCCAACATTGCGCCAACATCATGCCGAGTTTCACTACCAATGTTTCGCCAAGGTTAAGCCAATGTTGCACCAAGATGTAGCCAATATTGGTAACCAATGTTTAGCCAATATTGGGCCAATATATGTGTGCTGACTGGGTAAGTAGCCACAAATATTGAAACTTTAAATTTCTTTGTCCGCTTGCTGGAAATTTTAAAAGTTCATCAGGACGCCAGATGTTTTCTAATAAATACAACCGTGTATCGTCTGTTATAACTCCTTTGATAAAATTGCCGATATCATTTGCGTAAGAAACAGTCGAAGGTGCTGAATTTATGGAAATTTCTTGATGTAATGTACTTTGAAAAGCAATAGTACCATCTTCATTTTTATCATTTTCAGTTTTACTTTTCTTTGTAAAGAAATCAGTTAATAAAGTAGTTTTTAATTTCCTTTTTCCTTCCGCCATCATTAAAATGAATTTAAATTGCTTGAAGTAGTTAAAAGATACACATTAAAACACGACTATACGAAGAAGAAAGCAAATTATTATTGGTCTTCTATTCTGTCTAAATTGACTACTGTAGGTTCCTGGCTTTACATCTATATTTAACCAAATACGCAGTTTTTTTTTATATAGCCTACCAACACAAAGTTTTGTGTCAACAATTGTGGGTCAAGCCCACGCCTTCCTGCCAGATGTGCATCCGGTAGTATTTTATAATTGATACGTACCAATATTCATCCCACCCTCACCCCCTTTCACACCCCTTAACTGATAACCTTGTTCAGCTTTCCCTTCGCCTATTGCGACCCTGAGTGTTTGTTGTTTAAGCACTGAATGATAGCGACACAAGTCCATCGTCGTCAATAGCTGTAACTTAACGTAAAGGATTGTCATTTTGAAGGTTCTACCCCCCCCTCCCCTCACCCCTGCCTACTCCTCCCTCTGCCATCTTTATCATTTTCAGTTTACTTAACTTTTTAAAAATTAAGTGAAATGAATTTCAAATGGTTTGAAGTAGTAAAAACATACACATTATAGAACCTCAATGCGAATAATAATCAATTCCTTTGTTTGTTTTTCATTTCTAGACGCTTTCCGATTGCACTACAATCATATTAGACAACAAAGGCCTACCCACGTAGCCCACCCCTCCCTTTCGACACTCCTTAACTGATCTAACCTTGGCCAACTTTCCCTTGGCCTACTGCGTTCCAGATTATTATACTTTACTTTAGCGCGATAATAAAATTCATAACTAAATTCTACAGGCAATTCTCATCACAATGATATACATTGTTGTTCTAGAGGCTGCCAGGCTTAAGTGTTTAGTGTTTAAGCCCTAAATAATATTGACACAAGTCAATAGCTATAGCTTAACGTAAAAAAGTAGTCATTTTGGGGGTCCATGGGGGGGGGGGGGGTTATAACCCCCCCTAACCCCCCCCTGCCTACGCCACTGATTATATGAATAAAAACCATCACACAGTAATCTATAGTAGATCTATACATAATTCCATGACGTTTTCATAAAGTTCGACTCCCCACTCCCGGATTTTTAAAAGTATAGGCATACTATAATGCTTAGAATTGTATTGTCGTGAATAGGAGTTATTTGTGACAGAATACTCGAGAGCAGGGTGAACCTAAAGTAAAATATGATATGATCATTTTTTTTTAATATAAAGGGTCACCCCTATATATCTAAATAACTTCTTAACGACATCGCGCTATTTCAACAGATTTTACTTTTTTTACCCCCCTCCCCCTTTTCAACTCTCACGGTTCGTCAAAATGACTACAATTATAACGTAACGGTAAAGTACCATATATCTTTAGTAAATTGTATTCTAAAAGATAAATAATATACAGGGCCGGCGCTACCTATAAAGCGAACTAGGCGGTCGCCTACGGCGCTATCCATAGGGGGGGGGGGGGGGGGCGCAAAAATAGGTAATCTCCAAAAGTAAAAAGTACCTAATAATGAATAACTTTGATTACATTATATTACATAAACTATAAATTTTAGGGTAAAATACAAAGGCGTGGCGATCTATTTCGAAGCCCGAGACGAACTATCTGTTTTGCGCCCCATCTTCAAATTAGGCCTATATAGTTATTCGCGTTGGTGAAAATGCGCTCCCCAACCTCCCTCACTAGGCAATGTCGGGGCGCTTTTTATCAGTGACTTTACTTTTTATTTTGGTGTCAAGCAATTGATGTAGAAAACATTTAAATAAGTCCGTAATGCCAGTCAACATTCTTTATTTCAACTGTATATGATTCAGTAATGAGCTTTTTATTTTATTTTCTGCCGCGTTTGGCGCCCCCTTTGGATCAGTGCTTGTGCAATTTTGATTCTAAATAGGGCTAGGTCTCATTTTCTCTCACTTTGAATTAGAAATCTCATTAGCCAGGGAGAGATTTAGATTTTCAAACTAAATTAATTGTTGGCACCACAAGATCCTAAAGAGAATTAATATTCTAATACACACACATCCGCACACACACACAGACATATATGATATTGGGGTCCAAAAAAAATTGGGGGGGGGGGGGCGTTTTAAGAAATTTTGCCTAGGGCGCTAAATAACCTGGCGCCGGCATTGATAATATATTTGTCACATTTATGATTTTAAGAACACCATATCCTACCCACGTAGCAAATATAGTGGCAAGTATGAGCCCCACCCCGTCCCTCTTGTGTATGACGTCATTGCGTATGATTCCTATCCATCGACAAGCTAATATGAAATATGACTATAAGAATATGTTACAATTAATGCACGATTTCATTATAATATGACTTATTAAATCTATTGTTTATGGTTAACTGACATGAAGATCTAGCTAAATAACTTCTAGTCTAGGCAACATATTTTTGGGCTTACTAAAAGCACTCAATAAAAGTCGTAAAATTTGACAGGTATGTCGTAATGTAGATTACAATGCGCATGCGCATTACACTCAGCTGCTTCCGAAAAATAAATGCGGAAACTAGATCAATGATAATTAGTAAACACGGCATATTTTGAAGTGTTCAACCTTAAATACTTTTAGTGAAATGATTTAGCACTTAACAATTGTCTTCTAATTTTGAAGACGGCTATTGGACTTCAGCTATTGACTAAGGAACACTTGCATCGCTAGGTGACCCCAATCAATGTACAAGGTTATGTCCCTTGTATTATAAACATGGCATCAATTGTGGGCTTTGAGAAAATATCTTAAAACGCCTATTTTCATAATCAGAATACTCAACCCTTCTATTTTGGCGATATGTATGCTTCACCATATTCATCGGGAGATAGTCAAAGTCACACATTAACATTTCTGGATAATAATGCATCAAAATGGAAAGGGATATTCACTACTGCCCTGAAAGGGGTAAGTTAGTTTTCCTGAAAAATAATTAAAAATAAATTGCCTGACTGAATAGTCTGAATACAATTTTAAATGCTCATCCATCATCACTTAAGTCTTAGATCTAGATTACTTAATTTTGTAACCCAATTAGGCCCTAATGCTTTTGTTAGGCCTACTTAGCTACTAACCATTAGTGACAATTAGGCTACAGGACAGTGAGTTGTAAGAATTGGTTGGTTGTACTAGAATCTACTACTTTTACTCTTTTAGTTACATTTTAAAATAAAAACAGACTTGATAACTAAACTTCAAACATTGGCTTACATAACATAACTTTTTAACAAAAGCCTCAGAATTTAGTAAATAATGTCAACACTAACTGAATGGCAACCCTGTCCCTAACTTAAATCCTACCTAGTACTAGTAGTAGTACCATCATAGCTTCAACCCTGATCTCTAAGTTACTAAGTACTCTCTTAACTAGTATTTCTCGCTAACTTGGAGGCGTGGTCGGTTGCTAACAACAATATGGCGCCCGGACCGGACGTTTGATTTCCGGCGATTTTACGGCCAAATTCCAGAGACCTTCAACTAATTACATTTAAAAATGTTTACCACGCGCAAAATGGCGGGATTTCCGTGTCATAACAACAAACCATAAGTGGCAGGGTTAGATATGCCAGAAAAGCATTTTAAAATTTGGTTTGGAGAACGGAGGCTAAATTCAAAAGTCGGTCTCATTCAAATTAATAGAACTTCTAAAATATCAGCCCGGAGGTCAAAAAAATGAATTGGAGGTTGTAGAATTATTAGTTTTATCATTATATGAAGAAATAAATCAAATATTGCATGCACTTTTTAAAATAAGACACGACTTTTGAATGACAACCAAATTTATTTATTTTTTTAAACCACGTGACCGCTATTTGATGATCACTAGTGGGGAACTCTGGGTACATGGCCACTTAAAAAGTCTAACCTATTTGTGGTTTTCTTTACGTTCAAGCTTAAGTAGAGTTGTCATGGAGAGGTGTGTTGGCCATGGCAGTGAGTGTCAATAAATATTAAATTAAGTAATTTAGTTTAAAATGAACTAAAAACTTCAAAATTAGTGCCTAATGGATTAAATATGGATGTCTATCATTCAGTAGTCATGTTTAATTTGAAATTTGAGTAAATTCTAGATTTAGTAAGAAAAACTACTCTTAACTTTAACTCTTACCAAAAGATTATTATACTTCTACTAGACTAGGGTTTGTCAGTATCTTTAGAGATCGCTGTAAAAACATGACATGAAAACTCATTATTTTCTGATAGTTAAAATAGTTTAAAAGGTCATTTCCTAATGTTAATTAAAAAGTAGAACGGTTTTGCATTTGTTTTCATGGTTTTGCAATCTGATTGTATCCTGTCTCTGCTTTTGTCTTCCCCCTGTATCAAGGTTAATTTTGCAAACATTGGAATCTCACTTTTTAAAAAGATAATTCTAGAGGATGAAAGATTACTGAGCAGATATATCTTATGTATTTGTAAATATTTGTTTCTAGATATTTTGACTCCGACATTAGTTATACTCTTTTGAAATTAGTCACTGTATGTAGGTCGCGTTGCCACCATTGTTATATTTTTTCATCCCAATCTGCTGCTTTTTAGTTTTGATACACTAACAACAGCAGTCTTATGTAATGTGCAAACAAATCTCCTAATTTATATTAATATTTTAATCTATCTTCCATTTATTCAGCTCTGGATCTAAATATGTTTTTTCCTAAAATTTATTTTCGGCAGACTAGACAAGAATCAGGCGTAGGTTACCTGTCAGTCGCTATACACTAGCCATGTGCTAATTGTAATTTTAAGTTTTAAAGTTCTACTTACCATTATTTATAGTTATGTGGTGAAAATCAGAATTCATACACACATAAAAACATTGATCTGATAACTTTAGTTCATTTATAACAAAATGGCTTAAAGATTGGCTCTACTTCACCTGCCCAAAATAATCAGGCAGTTATATGCACATTACAGTGCTCAAGTGGTTTACTTAAGTTGTCTGACTATGTAGTTCTTTCAATCAATGTATATATATAAAACATTGCTTTAGAAACATTTTCATATTTCCGTAGCACATTATTTTTTGGGGTTAGGGGAGGAAGCCAACACAAAAATATACATTTTGTATTATTTTTATTCAGTTCAACAACGTATACAATTTCTTTATATCATTCTATCTAAACTCTGCAGATATGAACATAAATAGAACTGCAAGCAAAATAACTATGCTCTATTTATTCAAGTATACCATGACTTAGTCACAAATGGCCAATGCAAAAACAAGGGGATTCCACCCCTCACAAAAGAAATCCACTAAAAAAACTGAGCTAAAAAGAAAATCTTTTTATTTTTATAATATGATTTTTTAAATATTTTTTTTTAATCAAAACCCTACTTCTACTAACACCTGTTTCTGAAGCATCTATTTCCAGGCAATATTAATACTTAATACCAATACTCCTTTATAGACTTTAGTATATATTTAATTTTAGAAGTATTGGTGTTAGCTTGTCTGACAATAGTCTCTTCTGAAACTGAAAGGCGTGTTATTAACATTGTGATCTAATTTTAGTGTTCTAAATAGAAATTAGAGTTAGGACTTGGTTTAATGTTGCCATTAGCTAGTTATATTAGTATTTAGTTAAAATTGAGTTTACTATCAATAATATAACACCTTTTTTGTGATAATTTTATTATTTTTTTCATTATCTGACATTAGTATATAAGTATAACACACCCCAAATTTTTGTCTTCTTTCTTAATAAATGTAACCTCACCTTGTTACATTCTGATTCATGTTAATTTTATTGTTAACTACTGAGTAACTTTTAAGTAATTAGGCTTAAGTTAATCCTAATATAAATTCTAAATATAAGCTTCACTACTTTATTTAACATTAAATTTAAAAAATTCTCACTTCATGTCTGATAGACATGATGCATCTTGATGACTTAAACTTAACACAGTAATCTGTTTGCTCTTTATAAAAACCAGGGTAATCATTTATCAGTAAAGTAGCATAATAATACTAAAGAAGGGTCTTTTCTTTTACTTATATTTTCTTATCTGGGCTATTCTAGTTTAGGTTAAATTAAACCAACAAAGTCTCTTGTACACTAGCACAACAAAATATTTATACTCACCTATCACTGTCATGTCTCATCCATAATCCCAATCTTCCACAACCTAGATCTATTTTTATAAATTACTTTTGACTCTACAAAACAAAATGATGACTCTTAGCAATTCTACAAGAACTACAAGTCGATTACAAGTAGGTGTGTATGGCCAACCACAGGATTTTCTACTGACCAATCACTTGCTGATTGGTTGGTTAGGGTTGACTAATTCTTTACCTTGTTGACCAATTGTGTGCGGCATTAATAAAACTATTTCCTATCTTGTATTTTAGAATACTGTCACATGATTCCTTCCCACCGCTTTCATATATTGACAGTTCAAATTTCTTTCTTTAAATTAGGATTCACATTTTTAATGGATTATTGTTTATGTTTATTTCTTTTGAAGATCAGAGCACGTTTAATATGTTCATAATCTATTATTTTTATAAGTATTTGCTTGAAAGAAATTAGGTATAGTCACTGGGAATATTTTCTCGTCAACTTTCTTTTATATTCGTATATAAAAGTATAGGGTGGGTATAGCATGTACAGTGGAATCAGGCTGTAGAAGGTTTGTGACAAAACCTCAATTTTTAGAGAAAGTTCTTAAAATATCTTCTGTATCAAATTTGTCAAAATCACAATTCTGATTATTTACAGAATTACTGTACTTTCCCTATCAGAAAGTAAAATATAAATCTAGAGAATTTCATTTTTGTGTTTATTTGTATAATTCAGTCAGGTTCATCTGCAGAAAGAAACTTAATTTTGTTTTCTCTACCATAAATGATTGATCTAAAGAGTCTCTCTGTCCTGTATAAATTTTGTGTTAGTAATTTTATTTTGCTTTCTATTTTTTATAGGTTCAAAAGCAAGTTCATCCTTGTCTAGCAACCAAAGAGGATGCTTTGGATTATATAGAAAATCTTATGATAAGACTACTTGGAACTCTGTGTTCAGCTCAACCACATTCACCAGAAGATGTTGATGAGCGCATTTCTAGAACATTTCCAGACCCTATTGACAAATGGGCCATGCGTGATGCACAGAATGCCCTCAAAGATGGCAAAAAGAACTCTACCATTGTGCTCCCAGTTGATAAAATTCTTCCACTTCTCAGGGTAAATAAAAGTTTATTTGAATTCTACAATAAAGGAAATAAGCAGTGCTTGTACTAAGGTTTTCATTACAGCGTTAAGCTTATTCTTATAATTTTTGTTTCCTTATCTGAGGGTATAAGACATTTTTACATTGTTAAAATTGTTGTATTATCTTTTTTTTTAAAGAGCTAAGTGGTAATTGAGCTGTGAATATGTCAAATTAAATTCTCCCTTGGGTTGAGACATGTAATATGTACCACTTATTAGTGATACAGATATATTAATATTAGTATAGAAATTCCTCTTACATTGCTATGGAACTGTATTGCAATTTTCTTTACTTCAGTGATCCAAACCTGATTTCATTTTATAAGTAATTAACTCATTTAATTGCGAGAATATAAACACTATTAATTATCTTAATTACACCACACCCGAACCTCTCAGTATCTGATTTATTTTGATATTTTTTCCTACACAGGATGAGCTGGGTTACAGAGTGGATTACAATCTGGCATTATACATAACAGCAGTTTTAGAGTATATTGCTGCAGATATTCTTAAAGTGAGTTGAGCTAATTGTTTTTAATTTTAATTATGGAATTGATAACTGCATCAGTGCATATTTGATTGATATTCTTATAAAAATCATGTTTTTCTGTGTGCTTATAGTATTACTTTGAAAACTGTCCCTGCCAAATTATTTTAACATATATTTGCTTTCTACAACAGATTTCTGGTATCTATGTAAAAAACATCAGACACACTGAGATAAGTTTGCAAGACATCAAAGTGGCAATATGTGCAGATCAGGTAAGTTAACTGTTTTCATGTGAAGAAAAACTTCTGACCGTGTCTTTGTAAAATGCTTATCTAGTACTCTCCCTGATGGTAATTAACTGTGGCAGAAAAATTCATGCTAAGAGATGAAAAAGGAATTTAAAATTCTGGTCATAGATATTGAGATTATTTCTAATTTGTTTTTAGGTTCTTTACGATATGTTCTTTCAAGAGGAGGAGATCTCGGTTATGGTGGAGGACGAACCAGTGAGAAGAGAAAAGATGTCTTACGAGGAAATTGTGAAAGACCTAATTATGGAAGAAACTCAGTATCTTAGAGATTTGAACATGATTATTCGGGTTTTTCGCGCCCCTTTTGCAAAATTCTTTCCTCGTTCTAAGGTAAAATAAATTGGTTACAGACTTGATCGTTTGTCTTATTTTAAAATTACTTTTTTTTAATTAGATGATTCAATGCTTATTTGAACTATACAGGATCTTGAAGTAATCTTTATTTGAACTATACAGGATCTTGAAGTAATCTTTAGCAATATTCTGGACATCTATGATTTTACTGCCAAGCTTCTCAGCTCTGTGGAGGATCAAGTTGAAATGGCACAAGGGGAAGCACCATTAGTTGGAACCTGTTTTACTGATCTTACAGAGGTAACTTTGAATAAGTGATTATTTATTTATATAGTTTGGTGCCATTTAGCAGCAAAAATGAGGTAAAAGGTAACAACTGCATTGAGTTTTTAAGCTATCTCTGTTAACATTGTCTGACTGTATTGTGTATACACTTTCTCATGTTCTTGATATTTTAAATAATATATCTTATTCCTCATAGGGAGAAGAATTCAGTGTCTATGAACGATATGTGACTGATATGATAGCACCTAATGGGAAAGGTCGACTCAATGCACTACTTATGAGAGATGATGTTATTGCTTACTTAAAGGTATTGTACAGTTTCCTTTTTAAGTACTTTAAAAGCTAGAAACTTTTCCAAGCAAATAAGTACTTTTTCTATCACAAATGTGATTACGAAATTTTTTCTGTTAAAACAGGAAGCAGGTAATGGATTCAGAGAAGCATTTAAATATGTTTTACCAAAACTCCTAATGGGTCCTATGTTTCACTGCCTCCAGTATTTTGAAATAGTTAAGGTAAGAAAGCAAAAGTGTGTTGGGTGTCTGTTTAGTTTTCATGAAGTATGTAAAAAGAAAGATTAAAACTCAGTTTTTAACCTTACTTGAAATACTTGTGGCAGCATTCAAGCACATGTAAATAAAAATATTTTTTGATAACATTCTTTAACTCACTTATTCAGGCACTAATTTGTGTAAGCCCCAGTGATGAAGACAGAGAATGTTTAACCCAAGCTGATGGACTTTTACAAGCACTCAAAGCCCGGCTTGAAAGGCAACTTAGTAACATACCAAAAAGAAAGAATTGGTGAGTGAATTAACTTTTTGTTTATTTATCTTGTGAAAGTTGATATCTATTTAGATTTGTTATAAAATGTTTATTGTAATGACTAAGTTAGTTGTATGAGCTTAACTTGTTATATTTTTCAATTACCTCAGGGAGTTGTCATTGAGAATGCATTCCCACTCAAGGTCAGCTACTGTTCAAAAGATGACAGAGATTCAGAAAAGCATTGATAACTGGGACAGTAAAGATATTATTCAGATGTGCAGTGAATTTATCATGGGTAATGGATTATTTCAAATCATATCAAGTTCTTATAAATATGTGTCTTGCAGATACGTTCCTTGTGAACCACTCTTAACCCTGATCATTACTGCTAAAGTTTACATTATTTCATGCCATTGATTTATCCAAAACCTTTTATTCTTTTTTCTTTTTTTATTCACCATATTATTTTAAAAGAATCAATATTTTATTCCAGAGGGCCCATTAACGAAAGTAACTGGTCGCCGGACCCCCCCTGAAAGATATTGTTTTCTGTTTGATGGGCTTATTATATTATGTAAATCAAATCCTAGAAGGACATCAGGAACAGGTCCTGTTTCTGAATACAAGCTGAAAGAGAAATTTCTCATCAGAAAAATAGAGGTTGTGGATAAAGAGGACACAGAAGGTAATATATTTTAAAAAAAAAATTAAAAACCAGTCATTCTTTGCCAAGTTATTTTGGTTTTAAGAAAACATTTTTTCTAATTTTAAAGTTTCTCAATTTATTTTTTCTTTCCTCACTCCTTCTAATTTAAAACTATTTTAGAATTGTTTTTAGTTATTTAAATCACTCTAGTTAATTTAATGTTCAGTTCAAAAGAGGTAAAATAGCTATTTATCTGTTTTTACACAGATTTGAGAAATGCTTTTGAAATCCATCCACGTGAGCACTCACACATTGTGTTACAAGCCAAGACTAGTGAAGATAAGTTTAACTGGATGGCTGCTCTGGTTTCTCTGCAAACAAGGAGGTATTACTTTACTTAATTTCTTTCATTTTGAAAAAATATTTATAGTCATCAAACATATTAATAGTTAATTTTTCTTTTACTAAACCATGGGACAGAACATTATTTAGATTGTTAGATTATTCATTAGTCCTATTATAACTAAGTTTTAATCAGAATATTTGTATGGAGTTTGAAAAAAAGAACCAACAGAAAATGTTTTTCAATCAATTAGTATGCTTGAAAGAAGCCTGGATAGTATGTTGAGGGAAGAAGAGAAGAACAACCCTCTGATACTGCCATCTTCTAGTCAGTATGAATTTGCAATGGAAGATTCATCAAAAAACATAATATTTGAAGAAAATCAGGACTCATCACATGAAAGTCCACTCATTAAGGTATTTTTTTTTTTTTTGTTAAAACAGGAAACACACCATAGAGAAATAAGTGTAGTTTTTAGAGGTTCTAAAAAACTTTAAATTGTTATTAAACAAATAATTACTGTTTGCTTTACTTTCACAGGGAGGACAGCTTGTTAAATTGGTAGAAAGGCTAACATACCACATGTATGCAGATCCACGTTTTTTGCGCACATTTTTATTGACATACCGTTCCTTTTGTAGTTCAAGAGAACTTCTAGATTTGTTGGTCAAACGGTATCTATTGTCTTTTATACAATTTTTTAAATAGATTTTTTTTTCTACTTATTTGTTTAATTTCAAGTATTTCTCAAAAATGACTAACTTTTTTTTTTAATTTGTTAAAAATGGAGTGGTAATATGTTAATTTTTTCCCTAGCTTTGATATTCCTGAACCTAACTTTGGTAGTCCAACAATGGATGATAATGCTAGTCTTAAGATGAGAGAAGACATAAAGCGCTTTCGTAATGAATATGTTAAACCTGTGCAATTTAGGTAATGGTCTTTTTAAAGCTTTTTCTTCAAACAGATTACCTCTGTTAATAATGTACTCTGCTACCTTGTTTTCAATGAAATAATACATCTTCTGTTATTCAAAGGGTTGCTAATGTTTTCCGTCATTGGGTAGACAACCATTTTTATGACTTTGAACGGGACCCAGAGCTGCTGGTCAGACTCAATAAATTTCTACAAAATATCAAAGGCAAGGCCATGCGAAAAATGGCTGACATTATTTCAAAAAGTATACAAAGGAAGGTAATATCAAGAAGTTTTTACCAACCAATTTGTTAAAATTAACTTTATTTCTAACTATACAGCCACAATTTAATTACAAAAATGAAAGTTAAATGTTGAAATTAATAATTTTATTATCATTTTCACATAAAGAAAAGTAAAGTTTCGCTTTAGACCCAGTGGTTCATTGGGTAGGAAGTAGAATTTATATATTTCTTTACCACTGCATATATTCTTTTCACATACACAACCATAAAACCCAAACTATTCCACACATTTTAACTTTGCTTGTTATGAAACAGCTTGATAGCTCAAACACAGAGAGAGAGTTTACATATCAAGAAAAGAAACCAAAGATTGAGTGGCACATAACTAAGAAACCTGAAGAGTTTAATCTTATGACGGTAAAAATATTTTTCCAGATCCTTTATAAAAAGTATTATTACTTTAAACTATGGACATATCAGTATCTTAAACAAAATACTTAAAAAATGTTACCAATTATTTGTTGATGATATTTATTTCTGAGTAAGTTTTTGATAAGAATATTTGCATTGATTTTTCTCTTTATTTTCTAACTCCATAGCTTCATCCAATAGAAATAGCTCGTCAGGTAACCTTGTTAGAGTTTGACCTCTACAGAGCTATTAAGCCATCAGAACTTGTGGGTATGCCATGGATGAAGAAAGATAAGCAACAAACTGCGCCCAATTTGCTCAAAATGATCCACTTTTCAACTAATGTAAGAACATCTGAATTTTTTTTAATGAAGTCTTAAAATTTTATTTTAAGAAAACCTTTTGATATTTTCTATTAAGCATTTACATTTTATTTTAAATGCTGTATTTGTTGTTGCTTTTCCACTTTCAGTTCACATATTGGCTGGAATTGTTTATTGTTGAAACTCATAACCTAGATGAGAGGGTGGCGGTTATGTCCAGAGTTATTGAAGTGATGATGGTGTTTCAAGAGCTCAACAATTTTAATGGAGTGCTAGAGGTGATTGGTGCACTCAACTCTGCATCAGTCTTTAGACTGGAGCATACCAAAAGGGTAAAAAATTTCATATGGATATTATTTTCAATTTTAAAAAATTTCATTAAAATATAACTTTACTAAATCAATATATATAATGTATTTAAAAGAAAACTGGTTAAGAGAAATGAAAGCAATCCATATATTTTAATGTAAAATAAATTGTACTGGGACCATTAACACACTCTGGGATGTTATAGTCGAGTGGTATATCATATATATATATATGATTTCTGGACCCTAGTCTCTGTGTTCACGGAGCTCTGATGAGTGCAGTACCAGACTCCATTCTGGGAAAGTAAAGTTGCCTGGGCAATTCCTTAACATGCATAGATCAAGGAAACAGAGTAACACTTCAATCTAAAGAGGACTTGACTTTATTAATATGCTTTAACAAAGTTGTAGTTATATCAAATTTTCAAACTATGTTCTTCCAGAAATGTTGCTGGTTTTAGTCATAGTTTCTGCTCTTTAGTTTTAGCTTTAAAACATCATGGAATACCTTCTTTATATTTCTTAAAATAGGAGCTTCCCAGTAAATACCAAAAAGCTTTGGAGGAGGCATCAGAGTTAAATAATGATCACTTTAGAAAATACATTGAGAAGCTGAGATCCATTAATCCACCCTGTGTCCCATTCCTTGGTAAGCAGATGATAAACACTACATTAAGTTAAAATATATGAAAAATCAGTTACTTTGAATAATTTAAAATTAGGATATTAGATGCACTAATAATGATCTTTGTTAAAAAAATATAGGTATGTACTTGACCAATATTCTCAAAACTGAAGAAGGCAATCCAGATTTTGTAGCTAATGCACCAGAGGGAATCATAAACTTTAGTAAACGAAGGAAAGTGGCCGAAATTACAGGAGAAATTCAACAATATCAGAATCAACCCTACTGTCTAGATCAAGAAAATTCAATTAGGGTATGTCGGAAGAAATTTTTTTTAATAAGTTATTTTTTGAACACAATGAATGTGTCTATAAAAACTAGGGTGATTTGTAACGGTTTATTTTAATTTATGAATACAGGAATTCTTTGCAATGCTTGATCCACTTAAAGAACGGAAAATGTCAGAGAAAGAGCTGGAAGACTATTTGTATAAAACTTCGCTTGATATAGAACCTAGGGATGGGAAGTTAGCCAGATTTGTAAGTTATTTTCATTAACCAACATACATAGCTTTTTTTTATATAAAAACTTGATAAATTGACATGCAAAATTATACTTCATTTTAGGTCTTCTTTCATCAGAAGAAAAACAACACAAGGGAACAGTAGTTTGATTAAAATGTCATTGTATTCATAACATCAAGTCATTTATTCCTTGCTTGTTTTTAAGTACTCTTATCAATAATAAAAACATTGTTTTTTCAACGAAGGGGAAAAGATTTCAAGAGTATTCCTTGAAAAGCCCTGGAATAAAGCCCAGCACTAATAGACATGGTAGCAGTACAAAGAGTAACACTTTACCGTCTTTGCCTAAAATGTCAGAGGAAGATGATTCTTCACACTCAGCCTGTAATACACCAACTTCTCCACATAAACCACAGAGCCCAACAGCCACTGTGTTTGCAAATTCCCCTGGTAAGATTCAAAATTTAAATCCAATAAAAATGGTAAAAATAAAAATGAAATTGTTAAATCACTACAATTAAACAAGTTTATGTTAAGAATTTAGCGGGAATATCAGATTGAATTGCTGATAATACTACATTTTTTTTTTTCATTCATTCTCCACAGAAGCAAATTCTAATTCAACTTCTAACAGAGAGATTCATGGACCACACACACCCTCCTTCAATCCAACTGATGCACCAGAACTCCGGCGTACACCTCCGCCATTACCTCCTCGGCGTGGCAATCCATTTGTCCCTGAGCCACCCCCGCCGCCACCTCGAATAGATAGTGACAGACCACCACCAGTTCCTCCCCGACGGGACTCAATGCCACAGCATGTTGCACGTTCTCAAAGTGTATCAAATACCACAAATGGTACACCTCCCATATTTTCTTACAATTCATTCACGTGTCAAGACTCTGAACCTAGTGATGACCGGCCAGTGTTGCCACCAAGGACGTATCTTGAAAGGCTTTCACACTACAGAAAACAGAGCAGCTAAAATAAGAGACTAATCAAAGATTTTGTTGTTGGTTTTTTTCAAATTCAAAATTAAGAAACCTAGAAAGAAAACAAAATTTCATTATGGATTACTTTTTCTTACAAAGGCTGTTTTCAGTAGGTGGATCCACAAATTGTTAAAAAAAAAATTCTAAAAATTGGAGCTGGTCTCTCCAGTGTGAATTGGCTTGTGCTTATAGTTGCAGGTGGTTTCCTACATCTACCTGCACCTGTGAAGTGGTGCTGAACAAATTTTTCATGAGTGAACATTGGCTGTAATGCCGGAGAAAACTTACTCCTGAGACCACAACAAAGACTTTCTGTAAGAGACTCAACCAGCAGAACCTGAGTGAATCTGGTCCATTGTGGTCTAAAACGATAGCTGGTACAGTTGCGTCTATTCACTGCATTTATTTTTCAAGACAGTTTATGTAAAATACATTGATGTGATTTAAAGAGGATAAACAATGCAACAGTATTGGTACCAGTGCCATCTTTATCTGTTGTTCTATAGGTCTCTAGTGTTTGCTATAAGCTGTGATGTTTTAAGACTAAGAACTGTTCATGTCCCTGTTTACAGTCCTGGTCTTAATAAAAAAAAATACAATTATTTAAACACAAAAAAACCTTTGAGATAACTACATATTCTTACAATGTAGAATAATAATGTATATAATTGTACATAATTTAAATGTCTTTAGCTAGAGACTATTTTGACTGGCTTTTATATATATCAAATGTGATGAACTCATTCGAGGTCATCAATTCATTTTGTTGGCTGTTTCAAATGTTTGTGAAACACTATGTACATTTTTTTTTTGTGAACTGATAGGTCAGTAGGTTAATTGCTAACATAGCTTGACCAGTGTTGGTCTGAATGCTACAATAAATAGTGCACTGTAGACTACATCTAGTAATAGTTAGTTTCACAGATATAAGAAAAGGTCAGTAGGTCACTTGTTGACACTATTTGATATCTTTTGTCCATTGTGCCATATCATTTAGTGTTATTATGAAACACAAGGTTAAATGTTCACTTTCACCAGTTTTTTTTTTTTTTTTTGTAAAATCTAGTTTTGTGAAAGATCTCACTGTAACATAATGCCAACATAAATTTATTTGCCATTCACTACTATAACCTGCCACAGCAAAGCCTCGGGAATATAACAAGTACCATCCAGTCATAGCGTATCTTTGTGTATTAATATAATTACTAGAGTTATGATGTTTGATACAAATTGTTTCAAGATACACATAAATGTTCTTTCAAAATAGAAACATTGTACTCATTTTAACAAGAAGCATAGTAAAGTTGTATTGTTGTTCTTGAGGGAAGGTAATCTACCCAGGGCTTATCTTTTCTAGAAAGGGTCCAGGTTGCTAGTAGTAGTCTCTGTGGCCCAAAATCTGTTATGAGTAATAATCATATAAAAATAAAATTCATTAAAAATTGAATCTTTCTTTTATTTCTTATACTTTGGTCTCTACATTTCTAATTTTCTAAATCCGCTTTATATTGAATTTGCAAACAATGGTTTTGAAGGTTTTTTTTAACTGCTTGAACAATTCATAGACAAATTATGAACTATCATTAAATTGGACAAGGCAAAAATAAATAATGAATTGCAAAAAGAGCATAGTGCTTAGCTGGGTACAATTTTTGTATTATTAGTTGCATCATTGCACTGCTGAAGGTCTTGGAACTAGGCATCACCAAGGCTACTAAATTGATGGTACATTTTCACCCCATAGAAGCACATTTTTAAAGATGCTGCTATTGTGTGGGTGGATCCTCCTGTGAAGCCTTGTTTTATACCTTTTTAGAATTACATCCAACAAACAGAGTAGTGGTATTCAAAATCATATTTTTTACTTATAAATATTACTATTCGAGTCAGAATTAGATTTTCTTTTTAATAAAATGCCGACTAAGAATCATGATAGGCTATTCACAAAACAAACAAAACTAGACTTTTGCTAATTTTCAATTTCTTTTACTATTATTAAATAGATTTATTACAAAGTAAACAATCACAGTGAGTTACAAGTAGAATTGTGTTATTTTAGTAATTTAGTTCATCAGCACATTTTGTGCAATATTCAGCAATCTTAATTTTGTATGCTAATAAATATGAATGCTAGCCTGATTACTGGTAAATAAAACCAGTAAACTACTTACCTATGCAAGAGCTAACACTGCTAATACAATTTTCTACTAAAAAAAAAAAAATCTTCAAATACATTTCAGTTTATTAAAATTTTTGTTATAATGCCCAGCCACTTAACCTGTTGTTTAGTAAAGCTGTGTCAACACTCTGTGTGTTGGAAATTTAATGCCTTGTTTTCATAGTACACATAAGAAATTGTTTTATTAACCACAGCAGCTTCACTCACAAATATAGTTTAAAACTATAATTCATACAATTAAAAAAAAAAATGAAGCTATTTGAGCTAATTAATTAATTAAGTTGGCAGTGTTGCTTCTTCATCCATATCATTAATAGTACACCATGGCATAGCCTTCTGTAAGTTGACAATTGCTTGTTGAAAATTTTTCACATCTTGCAATTCATTCAAGGTAAGAGATTTAAGTTTTCTGAAAGAAAAAAAATTAGGTTTTCAGTTTATACAGTTCAGTTAAATTTATTAATGCATTTGATGTATGGTTTAGAAAGCTCAAAAAAAAAAAGAAACTTAACGGAAAGGTCGTATAAAAGGATTATATTCAACACAATCCTGTATTAATAAAAATAAAATGTGTTTATCAAAAAAAGATGTGATATTTACTTTAGTTCAGCCAGTCCCATTAAACCTTTTTCTGTGATCATAGGGCAGGTACTCACTTCCAGGTGTACCAAAGTATCCTTGACATGAACAAGCAGACCAAGAGCTTCATCGGATATACAACGACAACCATGCAGCCTGATCTTTTTCACGTGCTGCAAATTATCTGCAATAACATAAACATTTGATGAACCAAACTAAATTTTAACTTCTGGTTTCTCATACTGTTTTACTTTGACAAAAGATTTACTGATAATGAATGAATGAGTAAGACACTTACACCTTTATATCAACGCTTTAATGCATTAAAAATAAGAAAATAAACATGTTTTTTTTAAGTTGTAAAAGTAAAACCTTGGTCACAATATGTATTGAAAACATTTAAGCTTTAAAACTATTAGTGCAACATTTTTCCAAGCCAACCACTATTCTTTAGTTGATAACCCTCATGCACTTATCTTAAAGTTCGAAAACATTTCTCCAATATAGATTGATTTAACAACAGATCCACCCACAATCAAACTGACAAATCAACATGATTTTACATAAGCATAGCCATCCTGAATTGCTTGTAACTGTTAAGACTATACCCATTTTGTATTTGAAATATGTTATGCTATTATAAAGATTTTTAACAAAAAAAATGGCATAATAATAGTTAAAAACAGAGACATACTCAGATGTTCAAAACCCATGTTGATGACGTCAGTGGCAGTTAAATCAATCTCTTCAATCTTGTAATCTTCAAAACTTGTTGTTGGCAATAGGTTGTAGTCGTTAAGATGGTTGCTAGACATTGTCCATTTGATACTGCCCCCATTTCTTAAAATCCATTCTGCTGCTGCTCTGTCTGGGCCTGCTAATTTGACCCTTTCCTCATCTACCCTAAGTATGTAAAACTCCAATGTGTTAGGCTATTTAAACAGAATTATTAATAAAGAATTCTACATATTCCTGAGTACTCATAATTAATTTAAAAAATAAAAACAACACCCAATCAAGTATGTAATTAATTTACAAAACAATAACAGGCTTCTTTTAGTAAAAGCTGAAGTGTCAAAACAAATCCGTCTTTCTCTGATAAATATTATTCAACATTCTCTAGTACATGATCAAATGAAAATAAAATAGTTAGCCATTCTGACTTCTGGAAAAATATAGAATTTTGTTAAAGAGTTCCTAATAATGCACTGACATTAAAAAAAAGTGTATAAAGAAAAACAACTTTTAGTTCAACAGCTTTAAGTCATGTCCTTATCTGACAATTAAAACTACTTTCTGTGTGTCTCAAATAATGTACAGTGCTATATAATACTGTAATACACTGCTGTGATAATATGTAACAATATCATTAGAAAATAAGTTCTGCTATTTCAACAACTGCTGCTAGAAAATTTTTAAAGCACTTGAGGATCTTTATACATTACATAAGTATTTTAGATGAGATAATTCAGGTAACTAAACAGCCAAGAAAATAAAAATAAATCTATACAATGTAACTACATATATTTTGATGTTTTTAAAAATCTGATTAGGCCTAATTTAAAAAAAAGGGCCTGTACATTCTGTGGCGTTGTATATAATAAAGTGGGAGTGCGCTCCCCTAAACTTTCTCATTTATTCTTATAAAACAGCAAGGGTTGACATGGCACATCCAGTGAAATTGGGTAAAACAAAACTACAAGATGTCTATTGTCTAGTATTTTTAGAAAACTAGCTAAAAAGGCACTCAAGTTATCACTATTTTAGTGAACTAGAAATCGAGACAATTAACCCTTTCATATACCAGAGTATAGGAGCTTATACTTATGCATGATGAAATTTTGTTTACCTCACTGAAACCGTATTCAGGTTATTGTGTTCACTCATAAAGTACCACTCCTTGTTATAGAAAAGCTCTCACTCAATAGCTGATAGAAACCTGTGTATCCGATCTAATAGTTATATGTGAAATTTTTTTCACCTAACTGAAACAGTATGCAAATTATCGTGTCACGCACAAATGTAAATAGACCTACAAGCAAAACTGATATTTTTCTACACAGAAAGTTGTAAAAAGTGTCAAAATCTCAATTTCTTTTCTTTATTTAATAATTTCAATACTAACCATTACTTCTCTTTATACTATAGCCTAAGTTGTAGGCCTTTCTGAGTTAGTAGCTCTAGAATGCTAACCTGAAAGTCAAATCCGGGTTCAAATTAGTGGATTGTCCCCTGAGTCCACCCAACTCTGATGGGTACTTAACTCACATTAGGGAAAGTGAAGGGGGCTGGGCATAGTGCTGACCACAATATCCCTTCAAATGCTGAGATCAAGAAGCATATGATTATGAACTCTATCTGCCCAATGGATCACCAGGTCTAAAGAGGAATCTTTACTTTTTTATATGAGTTAGTAATAATAACCAATGTAATAGTAGTTGAGTAAGATTATATTTTTAAAAACCTCACTTATTGAAAGCAACATCTATCCCCCAAAACTCCCTTTTCTGACTCTGAGCATAGATTGGTGATAAAAGCAGCAGGTTATATTGTTTTGAGACAGTGTAATGTTGAGCAGCAGACACATTTTTGTTGAAGGCAGCTGCCTGTAAAGAAAAAAAAAATCACAAATATATAAAGTTCAAATGGTAAATTTAAATAAATATTATTATTAAATATGTATAAAGATCTAATATTTGTCCTCTCTCTCTGTCTACACAATCTATAAAAGAACTCTGCTCTTTTACTATTTTTATATACCCTAAATAAATAGTCTATTAAGTCAAAATCTAAAGTAGTTTTACTAATGTATTATGTAATGTTAATGAGTATTGAGTAAAGACAAAATAGTAATGACTAGTTAGTAAATACTTAACTTAAACTACGCAGATCGAAGTTTTGTTAAAAAAATCAGGTATAGTAATTCAGGCATTAGTAATTACTAGTAATTAGAAAACCACAAGATCTAGTAGTAGTGGAGTCTATAAAATAGATTAGGTTTAATTATATTATAGAAACTTCATATCACATCATATAGATCATTAGTTAGTAAGTAGTCAGTATAATTTAGGCCCATAGAGATTATAGTATATAAGTACTAATATAATATTTTAACGAATATAATAACGTGTCTAAATTTTAAAAAGACCTTATATTAGTTAGTAATAATGAAGTAATTATTAGGCTTAGGGTAAAGCTGGCGCACTCTACACCACCTACAGTCTACACTACACACACTACTAACTACTAGTTAACTAACTAGTACTAAATATTGAATAATGCTGCACTGATAATCTATCATTTTAGGTGCGTAAAATCAGCCGAGGCTAGTAATGTCCAAAAAAGTTGCCTCATTGTTAAGGCTTTAATAGAAGTATATTGTGATATGTTTGCATCAAATATTATAGATAACTGAATAATAAACAAAAATCAATGGCTAAATATATCAATATAGGCCAGAAATTAACTTTAAACAGCAGTATTTGCGAGCAGGATTTGCTATGGGGTCGTCCATAAATGACGTCACACTCATAGGGGGGAGGGTCCGTATTTTTGTAATGGTGTGTGTTGAGGGGGAGGTGGGGAGGTTCAGATGGAGTGAAGTCACACTTTTGCATTATAAAAAAGCAATGTTAGTAAACGAATTTTAGACGTTATTTCGCGTTTAAGAAAACTGTTTTAAGAAATTGTAATAGGAGGAAATAGCCGCTCTTAGCTCAATAGAAGAAAGAAGAGAATAAGAAATCCTCACTCAATACACAAAGCTAGAGGCACTGGAAAACCATAATCTAAAACACAAACTCCAGAAGCCCAGTCCATCAAACAGACTACAAAGAACAAGTTTCATCAAAGAAGCAAAGAATCTAAAAAAGAAATATGAAATCGAAAACATCATTCCTGAAGTAATCAAAACTCAAAACATCTCCCCGCCTTGGATCTCCCACTGTCATTTAACCATTAGTGACTCAATAGACACCATAGAAAAAAAATCTGACTATGATCAAGAAGAACTAAAGAAAATAACAAATAAGCACATTAAGGATCAGTACCCCAGCAATATTTGGATTAGAGTATTCACAGATGGCTCAGCTGAAGATGCCACAAAAAATGGCGGGGCTGGCGTCCTTATTGAATGGCCAAGCGGAGAAAGCCTGGAAAAGTTAACAGCCACAGGCAGCCTATCCGACAATTTTAGGGCAGAAAAAGAAGCTTTAGACCATGCAGCAAACCTCCTGTCAGAACACCCTGAATCACCAAATAGTCAGATAGTATTTCTTACAGATGCTAAATCTGTCCTGCAATCCCTAAAAAATCCAGAGTCCTATACTCAATCACTTAGGACAGCACTAGAAAGGCTAATAAATACCTGCAGCAGAATTGTGCTGCAGTGGATCCCGGGCCACTGCCAGATCCAGGGTAATGAGATTGCAGACCAGCTGGTAAAAATTGGGGGAAAGAAACAACAACCGGAAATCTCGCTACACCCAAAAGAAATAAAAAGAATAATAAAAAACAAACAAACGCAAATGTGGTCTGACACACACCCTCACTGCAATAAAGATGATGGATATTATAATTTGACACGAAAACAACAATACATAATCTTTAGACTTAGAACAGGCCATAACAGACTAAATCAACACATGCATAAAAAACTAAAGGTTGGGTGTGGCAAAATGTGCCCTTGTGGCAAGGCCCCGGAATATACGGAGCACGTCCTTCAGGAATGTTTTTTGTATAGCCAGGCGTGAGTCAGACACTGGCCCCTGCTCACCCCACTCAGGGAAAAATTATATGGGGAAACTGCTAATCTGGAGACCACAGTCCGGTTTGTTCACGAAGTTGGAATTGTTGTCTAAATCCTCCACCATATTCTCAATTAAGAATGAAGAAGAAGAAGAAAGACACTTTTGCATTATAAAAAAGCAATGTTAGAAAACGAATTTTAGACGTTATTTCGCGTTTAAGAAAACTGTTTTAAGAAATTGAAATAGGAATTGATTTCAATACTCTATTTTGACAGAGTTCAGACAGATTTTTGAAAATTTTTAGATTGAGGGGAGGGGGGGGGGGGGGGGGGTAGGGGGTAAAAATCATTTTAAAAAGTGTGACGTCATTTATGGATGACCCCTATACAAAAAGCAGCCATCTGTAAGTTAGAGTGATTGCCCCTGAATCTCTAACTATAATTTTACAAAAAAAAAAAAAAAACTTAAACAAGATGGCTGCTAAAGTAAATACTAAATGTCATATGAGCTTGGTTGCATCTGATGAATCAGATGAAAACATCTGAAAAGTTTTGATACAATTGTTTAAAATTTAAAACAGGTACCAGGTACATTAGGCCTAATGAAATTTTGAAACATTTTTATAACTTTCAAAACATAAATCATAAATCCTTCTAAAAAACGTGAAATAATTACTAAAATTTAATGAGTCACCTTTTTTTCACATTGCTACTAGATCTAGATCTGGTCTCGGCCGAATTTACGTACATAGTACGTAGACCTACGTACAAGTTAAAGTGTTAAAGGCTAACCTAAACTAAAAAGTAAACGATAGATTACCGATTTTTACAGAGACTAACTACTAATTTTACTAAATTACTAAATAATAATCCTAAATAAACTAGTAATTGTCATAATTGACTAAATCTATGTGTAACAATTTGAATTAGGTTTCTAAATGTTTAATTTAAGTTACCTGTGTGCTTAATATGTGGCATTGTCTGGCTGAGATTATTACCGTAGGACGAAATCGAAGGATGTGTTGGATAAGTCGCATTATGATTTTTTCAACAGCACAAGACAACGACCAAAACAAAGATTTATAAAGGTCAGGGGTCACGGTGACATTAGTGAGCGTAAAACTAAATAACGACCTAGATCTAACTAAAACGCGCACTATGCTAGATCTATATTCTGTTTATGAAACATCCAGTTTTAAATTATGTAAGCTTTTTTTAGTGATTGTAATAGCAGTAATTCAATTTCGAGTTAATTTTTTAATAATATTATCTTGATTTAAGAAAAAATATTTTTTAGAAGTTAAGGGGTGTGTGGAAGTGTGTAATGTTAGTTTTCTTTTTTTTTTTTAGAAGTGACCTTAGTCCATAGTAAACTTCTTATACTAGAGAGGTAGATTAAATTAAATTATATAGATCTAGTCAACTACAGATAGTATAGTAATAGTTAAGTATACGGGCCTAGATCTAGTAATAAATACAATTTTTAAATTGTTTTACCGTTCTGTGTTTCTAAGATCTAGATTTCTTGATTAGATCTAGAATTAAAAATAAAAGAAAATGACGTCAGCATGTCATCAGTTCATGGTAAATACATAAGCTACTAACTAAACTTTACTAAACTAAGACTAGTCACTAGAGTGACTAAAGTCACTATAAGACTCTTGCTCTAGTCTACAGTCTACCTACAGTCCTACAGTCTACAACTAGTCTACAACAGTAGCGGCCAAATACCCTGCTAAAATGCTAAATTAAATAGATCTATATAATTATCTAATAATATATAGATCTAATAATTTAGTATATAATATAACTTTTTAAATAATTTACTAAGTAAATAAATATTAAAGTAAATATTAGATCTATATACTATACTGTAACTATACTATTATATACTATTAAATAGTATTATATATATAACTATACTACTACTAGATCTATAGTATTATAGTAATATTAATTATTAGACTGTTGAAATTAATAATAATACATCTCATTTCAGCCTTTCCTCCCTTAGGTAAAAATATTTATTTTTTAAAAAATTTTTTCACCTCAGAAATTTAATACCAGACTGTGCAGAAGCTGTGTACGACATTATGGAATTTTTTCAAAAAACACAGGCTCTGAGAAAAAAAATGAAGAACAGGAACAGTCAGTGCCATGGGGATCTCCTGAAGTGAATGAAAAATTTGTTGAAGAATTCACAAAAAAACAGAACTTGCCGAATCCTGTCCGGAATACTGAAAAAGAATACTTTGACTCTCTAAAAAACCCAGATAGACTTGAGAAAGGGCTTTTGGATGGCAAGTTCTTTACTAAAAAATTCGGTATTTCTAAAGATCTGTTAGCATGGCTAAGCTGGGATATCAACCTTAATAATTTTGATGAGATAAGACTTCACAGTATGATATGGTATCTGAAGACATTGAGAAAGGAACAAAAGTAAGTTTTATACAATAAGCTACTTATTTAATTTTAATAATTTTTTTTTTTGGAATTTTTTCATTAGATATTGGTAGTTTAAAATATTAATGATATAATTGGTATTAACTTAAAAATAAAATTGGTTCAGTTATTGCTTTTTCATCTGTAACATGTGTTTCTTTTAAAGAACATTAATGCTATTTTTGTGGCTTGTTTTGTTGTGGCCTTACATTGGTATTGTTTTTCGCCTTTGATTTTTACATCACCACTGATTACTGTTACACTTAGATAAACTTGATAAGTTAACCCTTTCCGAACTGGCAGTAAATAGAATAAGTAGAGTTCATCTGTTCCTGTGATGGTGTGGTCAGTTGTACACCCTGTTGTCTTTACCTACACAAACATCAATCAGTTACCCATTATGATTAGAGCTAGATAGACTCTCGGAGGCTGTACTGACTCAAGTCAGGAAGTTGAACACAAGACTTTGTGGCCAGCATTTGTGCGCTCTGCAATCAAATCACACTATCCCAAGAAACACTTTTTATTCTCCTTAAATTAGGCTCCAAGCAAACAGAGTTGAGGCTTTGGGTTATGACCTCAGTGCTGCACATTTTGTAGTTTCTCAAGGTGGTGCTGTCAAGTTTCTTGGGAGAGAAGCTTGGTATGTCAGAAACAAACAAGGGAAAAGTACTTTGCCTAACATATCAGTTAAAGGCCTATACATCGAAGCTATTGATTTCCACAACGTTGCAATCACACAAGAGGCATTTGAAAACTTAGGTAAGTTTGTTAATGTTTTTACTTTCTCGTATACAGAGTAGAGAGGAAGTATTGTAATCATGCACAAAAATCAGATGAAATTTTGACAGTTTCCATTGTTTTACTTCTAAGTACTTCATCATAAATGGAGTATAGGGGACTTATTTTAATCAGGCAAAAATTCTAAATCCATATTTTTTTAAATTTTGGCGTTTTACGAGTCAGAAAAACGGGACTTTGCAATTCTGTCCATAAGTGTGGATGTGTGTGTGTCTGTGAACGCGATAACTTGAGTACCGTTACAGCTAGGTTGATGAAATTTCATATATAAGTATGTTATCAAAATCGTAGATCCTGATCAACTTTTGAGCGATTTCCGATAACCGGAAGTGGTACTTTTTCTACTTTGAATTTTTCAAAAGCCTATAACTTGAGTACTTTTTCAGATAGATAAATGAAATTTCACATACAAGTAAAAGATATTATTCTCTGCCTTCTATCAAATTTTGAGTAATTTCCGTAGACCAGAAGTAGTAATTTATGCTATTTCCGATTTCTCAAAAAAACTTATGTGAATTTATAAAGTACTAATAATATTGCGCACTATTATGCACATTTAGTTGGCGTTCACTTGGTGTGCAATTCTTTTTTCTACAAGATTCTATTCTATTTTAAAAAGTTTAAGAAGTTTAATATGGTTTAAAATATTGTCTATATCCCGAGTTGCCATCCCCGTAGTGTTATATAAGAATATTCGAGAAAGTTTAGGGGAGATCACTCCCGGTTTATTTAATCTTGTTTTATTTTTATACATTGTCAAATAAATTGAAAAATTAAGTGTAAGGTAATTTATCATTTCCATGATTCTTTGCTTTGATGTTGTACAAAAAACAATATACAAAACTTAGTCTAAAAATACAAACTTATATTCAACCTCTTCTGTATATATACTCTTATTTCATATTAAAGCTTCCAAGCATGAAAAATGTAACATTTAGTTTGTTGAAAATTTCAGATAAATTATCACAGATCCGTTACATGAAATTTGACAATTGTCAGTTCTTTGATGACTGGTGCTTGGCACGTTTGTATTGTCTCAGTGAAACTTTAGAGTTCCTAGATATTCGCAATTGTTCTGAAGTCACAGATCGTGGCCTAAGCTGTTTACATAGTCTTAAGTAAGTTTCTTTAATGATTAAGTGGAGTAGTTCTATTTAGTTTTTGTTGTCCATGCTTGTTAAAAATTGTCATTTTACTTTCATATTTTACCTGATATTTATAAGTACATGATCTGACCATATGGCACTTGATCACATGACCAGTCAAACTGGAAGACTTAAAAATATTTTGAGATTGTTAATTTCAACTTGAATCATTTTATTACTGTCTGCTAGTAATCCCATAGTCCTAAAGTAAAGAAGACTGTATAATGTAGGGTTACTGTTTCAGTATATGGTTTGGCCACAGAAACATACACTAGTAAAGTTGGGGAAAGTAAAGAAGACTGGATATTGGATATTGTTAAATTGTATGGGTGTGATGACTGCTTTGAAATATGCTTTGGGCACAGAAACATATATTACTTCATCATTTATTTTTACTGACTTAACTAAGGCAAATAATCCCAGGTTAATAAACAAAACTGTAAAGTTACATCATAATATATTACACTATTGATTTATTTCTAAAGAGATACCTTGTCCTAAGATAATTTAAACCTTGTAAATATTTTGTTCTGAAACCAACAACATGAAGCACAGGTATTGTTTTATATTATGTGTTAACAAAAGTGGATGCAAAATAACACAACTTCAACATTCTTCATCCATTTCCTCAGAAACCTCCAGTGTTTGAAATTAAGCAACCTTAAAAAGGTGCAACACATTGGACTAATAACTCTTCTACTGGAAGAAGCTTTACCAAACTTAACTGTGTTAGGTGTCAGTGAAGAAGATTTGAAACCACCTGAGAGCAAGTACAGAGGGGAGCGGAAACTTGTTCAAGCTTTGTTAGGATATTTTGAAGACTCTGAAAAAAATAAAGATGGCATATCACAAGTGCAGGTTTAACTAAAGGAATGACTTGTGCTCACAATTTGGCTATTTTTGCAGAAAGGCCTATATTTGTTCATTACAAAAGTATGGCTCTATAGTAATACTAATAGGATGGAGTTTTTTTATGCTTTGTTACATGCTGGAACTATATAATATATCATGATTAATTATTAAATACCTTCAGCATTTTGACTGTGATTATTGTTTGGATTTATTAACATAAAAATACTAATTATAAACAAAAGAGATCACCTCACTATTACTATACAGCATAATAGTAATAGAACAAAGCCACCTTCAAGAATGGCCAAAGTGGAAAATATTTCTGATTACAGTACTAGGTATAATTTGTAATTATAGCACTTAAACATCTCAAAACGAAAATCTGGAATGAATGCAGTTCCTTCAAATGTGACAGTTTTTCAATGAAACAAAATGTAATTACCTCTAAACACATGAATGGTTCAATAGTATCCTCACTCTCTACATGGACCTAAAATGTGTTTTTGTTAATTTCATATCCCAAGTAGCCTAACAGTTTTAGTTTTTAGAACTTGTTATAAGAAAACAAGACCTTAAAATTAAAAAAGAAAAGCTAATTACTTGAAATCATTTGAATGAATTTTACTTATACCATTTAGCATACCCTTCAGACATAGTACTTGCCATTTCACTTTGATCTCTGTCATCTAAGTTATTAAAAAATTATAAAGCATTTAGCTTTTCTTTGGAGCAATATAAATACTAAAGATTAAAAAACTTTGCACTTTTGGTAAGTTCAATAATTGCTGATGCAATTTATTCTAGTTCTCTATAAGATCAGATTATACCATTACTATTGTACACAAATGAAATTAATAAAGTATTATCACTAATAGCTGTACTTTAGTTCTGAAGTTCATTAAAAATGTGTTCATCTAATCAGTTATTTAATGTTTTTTCTATTTGCATTCATTATTGATAAACAGTTTACAGGAAGTAGGTGTTTTGGGCTGCCTCTCCCAATTAATAATTAAAAAAATGATCACTTAAACAAAAAAAATAATAAGACGTGTTTTTTAAAAATACTTTAATTCAGTATCGGATCAATGACAGACTGCAACATATAATTATTACATGACTTAATCTTAACCAATAAATTATTGCTTATATTACATTATGCCTATTATACGAATAATAATCATTGACATTTTAATGTCACAGGGGTCATCCATATATGACATCACTTTTTTTGACAATTTTTATCTCCCCCCTCCCCCTAAAATGACATCACACATCAGCCTACAAACCCCCCTCAAAATTGCAGATGAATTTTTTTTAAAACATCGATATTTTTCCAAAATCTTGTCTGATCTCTGTCAAAATAAGTATTTTAATAGAGTCCTATTACAATTTATTAAGTTTTCTAAAACGCGAAATAACGTCTAAAATTCATTTTCTAACATTGCTTCTTTATAATGCAAAAGTGTGACGCACCATCTTCCCCCCCCCCCCCCAAATTACTGACCCCCCCTTCCCCCTATGAGTGTGACATCATTTATGGACAACACCAGTCAAAATGTGATAGATCAAAACTGTCTCTGGTTTACTTTTATTTCTTACACTGAAAACTAATTCCACATCAAGTTGTTAATATTAAGGACATAGAATTTTTTATTTATACAGGATATTAGATTCTATATTATATTGTATATTTTCCTGATTTATATTTATATATAAACAGACATCTTCAAAATTTAATTTGTTTAATTGATAATTTCATTAATAAGTTATGTACATTCAAATAATATGCAAGGATTTATAATTCTAGGCAAATAAGTTTTTCAATAGCAACATAATTTTCCCCCATACCGGTACTTTATTTTAAATCGAATAACAATAAAAGAAATATTTTAAGGAGTATATTTTTTAAAATCATGACACAACAAAATATATTGCAAAATATAACATTATCTGAAGTAAAACATCTTTGTACAATTATCCCTGTTGACAGCTTCAAACTCCAGGCAAACTATTATCTAAGCAGAAAATCACATGTATTGCTAATAACCATAATAACCATAGCCAGAAGAATATGATGGGTATGGATATCCTGGATAGGCTCCGGGCTGCAAAAAAAAAAAAGAGGTAAATTTGAATTTCAAACAAAGAAAAGCTGTGAAATGAAAACCATAATGCCACAAACTTTAATTGAATTCACTTACAGCTGAGGCTCCATAGCCAACGTTGGGCCAAGGGCCATATCCATAGGGTGGTTCTGGTGGTGGGGGAGGTCCAAGGGGGGGTGGCCCAACAGGAGGTAAGGGGGGTATAGAATGGTCTACTGGTACAGATGGGTTGATTTCAGCTTTTAATTTTTTGTCTGCTGGCTCTTCACTAAAGATTGCAAGGAAAATAGAGTCATCATATTAAGAATAAATTAGCATGTGTGTGATATATATTACATAAACTTATATCAATTAATAAAAGCAATAAATCTCAAGCTTTTTGGCCAATTTATGTATACATGAAAACTTACAATTGTTCTTTTTCAGGAAGTCTCTTTTTTTTAATGCTGGCTTCCTTAACTAGTTTTTGGTGCTCATCATATGCTTCTGATATTCTAAAAATAAATCAAATTATAGCTACCTCATTCTTAGAATACAAAACAGCTTACTTTTGTTAAAACAAATTAAAAATATAATTTTAGATCAACAAAAAGAAATGGTACTGTAAAAGAATATTTTGCGTGGAAAGAGTGATCTAATTTAAATTTAAAGTGCTTACTTTTGTATGCAGGTTCCAAAATCTTCTAAGAACTCCATTCTTCTTTGGGAAATCTTGACTTTAAAATCTAAAGAAACATCACTTTTGAGCAACCTGTTAAATGTTTCCATGACTCTGTCTTCAACAATAGGCTGTGATTGGTATTCTATATCCAGTAATTGTAGAAAAACTTTTTCATTTGTCTAGATTTAAAGAAAAATGTATGTTTTTATAATTTCATGCTTAGTTACTTGTAAAAACAATACTTTTTAGCTTTTACAAGCTTTTACTTCAGTCACATTGTTGACAAAGCATCTAACTTAATTATGACCATCGATATTGCAGTTATTTCTTTCAAATGTTGCAGCTAAGTGCATCTCAGATTATAACCAAAGAATATCACATTTCAGATCTATTTGGATGATAAATTAATCTTTAAAATTAAAATTTATTTTAAGACGACTATATTCAATAACAAAGAATATTAATAGTGATCACTCATTATGCTAGGTTTACTAATTTACATGAATACTGAGCCATTATAAAGGTCATCATGATAATGTACTGATCAGGTTTAAAAAATATTTTTTAGTAAATTGGAACATTGACTTAATTAAGAACAAGCAGAACAGTAAATATGGTAAAAATTGTTTTAAAAAATTAACTATTGACTAGTCTATCGCTATATTTTTACAAGAAGTATCAAATAAAACCTTGTTGTAAAGGTGTTTTGTGCATATTTTATTGTTGATATTAACAGAGTTTGGAAAAATGGCAATCTGTGTTAAAAATTTAAATATTAGAAACTCTAGAGAAAAATTCGTGTAATGCTCTAAAACCATATGGTTGAACATACAATGTAAAAAAAAAAAAAATACCAAAATAACTCAATTTATTTAGTTATTTGCAAAACAAAAATATAGTAAAAAAAAACAACTTAGGCACTTACATTATCAATTTGTAATGCATCGTTAAGAACTTTTCTAGCTCTATCACTGTCGCCAATAACCTAAGAATATATAAGAAATAAGCATGATTAATAACGCGCAAGATTAACAAAAGCTTTAACAAAATGTTCAATATTATACAAGTAATAGTTGGACTCACTTTCTGTAAAAACCTGGCATATTTGATGGAAAAAAAGGTTCTGGTTTTATGACTAACAGCTTTTTCAATATAAGTTTTAAACATCTCTTCAGCAGCTTCATTATTCTTGTTTCGCCTTTCAAGACTGATACGCCTCATGCACACCATTGCCAATCCAGGTACATTGTTTTCAATGTTCAGTAAGATTTTTCTTGCAAGAGGATAATTATCTGTCAAAAATAAATAAAAAAATAAAGTGGAAAAAAACCCTGTTTTTAAACAGTGAGTAAAACATTTCTGATTTAGAGGGTGGCAATTTGTTTTTTAGTCTGACCACTTAAATACAGGAATTGATTATATTCACATGGTAAAGAATAAGAAACAGTTAAGTATATAATTCAACTTGTATGATTTTGTAGAGACATGAATTACAAAACTGAGTGCTAAAATTAAAAGTAACCTCTTCTTTCTTCAAATGCTGCCCAAGCCAGATGTATGTATGGTTTCTTTGGGAGGTGAATATCACAAGCTCTCTGATAAACACTTCTAACACCATCTAGACTGTGCTGCTCCAGGTATTTTGCATACTGAAAAGTAATAATAAAAGGAATGTCATTTTATACAATACACCATCACTGTATAAAAAACCCACTGAGCATACCATAGTATCTATGAATACTACACTTAAAATTTTCATATTATAGATCTATGTGATAGTATTATATTTACAGCAGCTAAGTTAAATTAAGAAAATGAAAATATAATGTATAGATTGTGAATTGTTTATTTTATACATCAGATTTTTAAAAACAAGTTTTATTTAAATAATTAAGGTACAAACTAACCTTCATCCAGAAGTCTTCATAAAGTGCACAAGCTATCATGCTTCTTTCAAAGAGTACAACTATTCTGTTATGGTTACCCCAACTGATCTCCTCATCTAGATATTCTCTCCAGTTTTTCAGCTGACCTCTTTCTAAAGGTTTCACGTGAAAATATGGGCGCCGAATCTAAAAGTAAATAGAATTATTGAATTACATTAGTACAATGAAATATCAATAATATAAAGAATTTACTTTCAATTGGCATTAATGATTTTTAGAACAAGGTTATAAAAGATTATTTAGATAAAAACAAAATTACAGTACTTTTAAAACTTACATTTTCTTCAAAAGTCCACCTTTTACTAACTTCAACTTCATTCAACTTGAAAATTGCCTCTCTTGTTTCAATATATTTGGCTCGCAATTTTTTCACTTCTTTTTCATCACCCTTAAAAAAGCCATACAATGATATAGTTTAGAGGCATAGACTCTTAAATACAATGAAGCTAGGTCTGCTATTGATGAAGTGGATATGATATGAGTGCATTCTAATGTTCTAATAAGATAATAACTCATCTACCATAGAAGGAAGCATTCCTGGGGGAGCATCCAACTCTGAGCTTTCTCCAACTTGCAGAGCTTCATCTAGTCCCACTTCATCATCATCCTCAACATGGTAGTTAGATGATTTGTTTAATACTTCAGAACGTAATTTCAGGAATGTGTCTATGTCAAGAATTTCTTTTGGATGGTGAATACTGATGTGTCTTTTATAACTACAAAAAAAAAACAACAATTAATTAGACACAAACAGTCAAAGCCACTTTATAAAAGAAACCCAAATATAGAATTTTTTTAAAACTAAAAAAAAAACAACAGTACATTAGAGTTAGTTGCATCTATTGCTAAAATAGAAAACATATCTTACTTATCCCAATGATGACTGTAAAGCTGAGTTGGTGTTTTTATAAGTCTCTCATAAATTGAGGTAACATTTTTCAAATTACTGTTCATATTCTCCCATGAGATATAAGAGTCCCACAATTTATCTGATCTAAACTCCAGACCTGCTGCTGCCAAAGCTTTTTCATACAATCTGAAGGAAATTCAAAGTTCATAACACAAAACTGAATTAATTTTTTTTAACAATGTTTAATTACTAAACTAAAAGATTTTTAGTCTTACTTTCTTATTTTCTCTTTGTAGGAAGGATCTGTTCCATATTCTGCTATGAAGAAGTTAATGTAATGGAGCCACAACTCAACACTCAATGGGATGGCTCGGAGACCCTTTTCAAAAACCTAATAAAATGAACACATTTGCTAACATTGATGTAAGCACAAAAACCGAGCGAAGCGGAAAAAAAAATCGAGTTGGAGCACGACGTGGTTTCTTCGAGTTTCGATACAGTGCAAGCTATATTGTATTACCATGTAAGATGTAGGCTTGTGACCAGCCCATGGAAACTGCATTAAACTTATGCATTAGTCCAAGAAGCCTGTGGCAAAAACAAGTCCGCAGATGGGACTCGCTGGCAACATCTCAAATACAGGTTGAACCTGAGCAGCAAAATGAAAATAGTGGAGATTCAACCATGCCACACAGAAATATTAGAGCAGTAGTTTTTTTCCTTACATTTTTTAAAAACCTGTTTTAACATTCTCTTCAGGCTAAAGTAGAAAGTGAAATAAATAAATAAAAAAACAACAAAGGGGTGGTAAAACATAGAGCGATGGTGTCCACATCTATTAAAAATCCCAATTTTTAAATTTTAAAGTTGACGTTTACCTCTTTAGCACGCTCAATGCTACCACTCTTTCTTTCCATATCACTGTACTTTTTCCAGTATCCATAGCAGTAGGGATAATGAGAAAAAAATGCTTCATATGCTTTACGGCAATCTTGAGGATCACTCTTGAGAAATAAATTAATATTAATTATTACAAACAACTAAATTAAATTTTTTAGCAATTAGTAATATACATTTTTATAGATTTGCAACTAAAAAAGATAAGTTTCATATTTTGTTTCCAAGAAATGCACACAGTTAAATGCATTCCTACTTAAAACAATTATACATTTCAGCATGACTTACAATTTCTGGTATATTACTGAATTACTGTACAAAGCCCAATCCTCAAAGTTGATTACAAAGCCATCAGGCAAAAATTTCCTACTTATTACCTCTTGCTCGACATATTGAAGTAAATATGTCCATCCTGTGAAGTCCATAGGGTTATCTTCAACAGTTTTCCAGTATTTCCCAAGTTCACTTTCCTTGCGTAGTTTTTCCTCAGCATCCCTCAAAGCTTTCTCTTGATCCTCTGGGGTTAGCTCTGTTTCTCCAACAAATTCAGTCTTCATTTCCTCCTTAGATAAGATAGGACCACAAAAGCTTGCTTGATCTGATCCATTCATTTCGTTAACTAATTGAAAAAAAATGATACCTCAGTTAAAAGACAGAGCCTTAATAAATTATAATTCTCTCATTTTTCAATGTTAATTACATACAAATTTGATAGTCAGCCTACTTTGTTTACATGCATAAACTGTGAGCAGGCCTAATCAATCAGGAAGTTTTAGAATTGGCCTTTGCAAAAAATTTGTAATTGATGTATGCAATTATTTAGGTAGTAATGGGCTTAAATATTAAAAAATAACTTAAAGGATGATTGGCATAAAAACATTTCCTTGTGGGGTATAGCAATCATTTTAGGCATGACTTATGTCTTAAGTAAGGTAATGAATATTGAAGACTTAAAATAAGCCTTAACAGATGATACATGTTTCAAAAAACTAAAAGTTGGTCACTAGTGAGGCATATCCTTGTGGTATGGCAGCAGAAAATAGCAGTATTGTATTACAAGACTGATCCAAGCTAGACTCTGGCCCCCAAAACCACCTCTCAGAAAAAAAAAAAGATACAGGGAGCTTGCTAATTTAGAGATGACTGTGTAGTTCATCAATGTTGGTCTTGGTTGTTCCTCAACAACCAATTAATTTTTCTGATCAATTTCTGGCTTATTCTTTTGCAAATCATTACTACGATCTGTGGTGCGCTTCAGGCGACTTAGTCAGTAGTTGTGGGCTCAATTTCCACTAGTCATTTATGTTTAATACATTTTTGTATGTGTTTTGTTATGTGCAGGGGTGCCACTCATTTTTTAAGTGAATCCTGAAAATCAATCCCAAAATTTTACCAATCCTGAAACTAAAATTTTTAAAACCCTGAAACTTAATTCCGCATGGAATTTCAAAATAAAATGGACTATTATTTCATTCTTTTTTTTATATTCAAATGAAAATTAATATTAATGTTAGTCCCATCTATAGGCCTACCCCATGTGCTATTCAAGACCCCCCCCCCCCCATGCATGTAAGCCACAATACAAAACAACTGTTTATGTTACTAATACTTTGTTTATAGTGACAGTAGTCACACTTTGTCTTCTATTGGTAATACAGAAATGTATAGAAATATCTAAGAACTATTTTAGTAGGCCTGAACTTCAACAAGTGGTGGGCCTACAATACCAATGTACACTGTTGTATGCCTGCTTTTATAACATAATCAAGTATTTAATTTTTTAGAACTTCCTAGCTTGATTTCAACGTCAAGTGTGAAGTCAGCCAACTGTTAAGTAACAAATATTTTGCTAACCCCTACAGCTTGTTATTGAATAATAAGCCCACTGTATGCACGACCCGTAATAAGATTATCACTATTAAATACAGGGTTGACTTACTGTAGTTATTCAGGGCTTTAATTATTAACAGCCACAACAAAAACCTAAAACCCTGTTTTCCCAATTAACCACCAATGGGGTCTTCCATAAATGACATCACGCTAACCCCCTTAAAATTGCAGCTGGACTTTTCTTAAAATACGATATTTTTCCAAATTCTTGTCTGAACTCTGTCAACAGAGTATTTTAATCAATTCCTACTACAACTTATTAAAAACAGTTATCTAAAACGCTAAATAATGGCTAAAATTCGCTTTTTAACATTTCTGTTTAATAATGCAAAAGTGTGATGGCACACCATCTGAACCCCTTCCCCTGATCACACACCGTCACAAAATACGGACCCCCTCCTCCTACGAGTGTGACGTCATTTATGGAGGACCACAATATCCCCACCTTTGATATACATGATGATGTAAAGAAATATCGTGGCAGTTCATGTCGCAGAATAACAGAATACTAAGAAATAATTTCAGAAATAACTACGCTAGTAATACTCGTGTCAGAGATGTAGCCGTCCGCTAAAGTGAAAAGCAGATTTTTTACAAGCGGATGGAATGGGAGGCGGCAGTGACAGTTTTCTCAAACAAGGTACCTCAAGGTTTTTTAAACATTTCAAGGACGTTTTACCACAGTAAAAAAAAACAATTAGATCTAGACCTTGCTAGATAGTGTAACTAAATCATAGCAGACCTACATATTTTGTTTAATGACCTAAAACGATGCAGATCTAGTTGTTTTTCTTATTAAAACTAAACCACGCTTAAATTAAACAGCGCTTGTAGAACTGCCTTGACCGTGAGACACGATTGTGCTCGCATGGTCTCATGTTGTAGGTCTTACGGTCAGCGCAACCTTGAAGAAGCGGGTAAGAGGTGGTAAAAAGTGTCCATAAAGTTGAGTGAAAACAGCACAGTTTTGTTTCATACATAAAATAGTCATTCAAATAAATTTGTCTTTTCTTTTGGTAATACCAAAAGTTGATACGGATCTACGATTTTAATAAAATACTTATTTATGAAATTTCATCAACCTAGCTGTAACGGTACTCAAGTAATCGTGTTTACACACAGACATACAGACAAGATTGCAAAATTATGTTTTTCCGTATCAGTGAGCTGTGATTTTTTTTTTGCACCATTACAATACCTTCTCTATACTTTGTACAGGGTTCATGCTCAAAAGTTCAAATAAAATTCCAGGAGTTTTCCAGGACTTTTCCAGGAGTTAAAAAAAAATTCAAGGAGATTTTAAAAACAAAAAAGAAACCCAATTTGTACATTTAAAAAAAAAAAAGCGTACTTAATAATACATTTAATTAGCTAAGCCAATGCAAAAATTTAATTTCAGTAAAAGTAAAACAATATATTAGTTACATATTAGGATAGAGGCTATCAATCTGACTACAGACCAGTTTGAATTTTCAAAATCTGACCATAAACAAAAAAGTTATGATTTTTTTTGTCATTAAAAAAAAATAGATTTTTCAGACAACCGGGATAGACCCTGAAAGAGGAAAAATACTGGGAGGGTATGGACCAAATTTTAAAGAGTTTTTCACTATAAAAGAGGTATAAATGCAAGCAGACTTCACCAATTAATATCATTTCGTGATATTTTATTGATTTTTGGATGCCAAATCCAATGACGCTAGGCTAGTCGGCCAACCCGATGAACGTGTCAGTCGAATATTATGTAATTTCAGAGACAAAAGTCTGGCAAGATTTCTTGATCTATGCCCAAGGATTAGTAACATCAACTCCACAAAGTGAAGGGGGAAGGGAGGTGGGGTATGAAACCACCGTACGAGTGTTACACAACATCAAAGACCACGATCGTCGGCTTGTCACGTCACGGAGTATTGGGGCGGGGTGAGGCGATGGATGTTACGTTGGGTGTTACATACCATGGGGGATGGTCAGTGTCTTCCACCACCCACCCCAGCCCATTTTGGTCGATTTGGCAAGCTAGTATTAAGCGTATTAACAATTTTTAGTCAACCGAAAAAAAAAGAGCCACTGGAAAAATTTATTTTATTTTCTATAGCCATTTTTATGAAAAATTAATGTATAAAATAATGAAACATTACGCGAATCAGCATTGTTTGATCGGGTCGCAGCTATCCGGGTTTTCTAAAGAAGATTAATTTTGACGATTAGTCCTGAGCCGTAAATACTACTACAACTTCTTTTTGCTGTTTCAACAGTTTAAGACAAACTTATGAAACATCCCTGTCTACTTTAAAAATCAAATAGCCGACAAGTCAAACATGGGAACACATGTAGGCCTATCTATCTTTAGAAATTGTTTATAGTATCATCCAATCGGGTCAACCGCCTAGCGTCACGTGACCACACACTCGGCTGTGCCACACGATGTGTAGATCACGGCAATGCGATTCAGTCGGACGACGGCCAATGTGTTTATTTTTATTTTCGTCCCATTTAAAAACTACTATTCAATTATTGGCGGAACAAAATCAAATAATTTCGGTCGGGTTTTGCGCCGCGGGTTAATAAAATTTCATAAGATTTCAGGAGAATTTTTAAAATTTCAGGAGAATTCCAGGAGGTTTTATATTTTTTCAAATTCCAAGAGAATTCCAGGAGATGTTTACGTTTTTTAAGATTCCAGGAGTTTTCCAGGACCTCCTGGAATTTCAGGAGGCCGCATGAACCCTGTTTGTATATAAGAGAAAGTAAAAAATAACAGATCATTGTGGTTTAAGGGCTTTTAGAGTCATAGTATAATCCAAAAGGCAGGTGAAATATCCATAATTAGGCTTAGTCTAATTTCGCTAGCAAAATAAGCTGAAAAGAGTGTCAAGTGAAAAGAAAACACAATTATATAAGCAGCGAGAGGATACTACTGTACAGCTTCCGTAACAATAGCGATGACGTCACAATAAAAAGTTAAGTGCTTTCAGGATGCCGATTTCTTAAAATCGGCACATAATAATTATATTTTTCTTTCACTAAACCATCAATCTAATAATATCCTACCTTACAGTGCCATTTAGACACCTTACAGTCCTTTATTTAAAGTTTTTAAACAACTCAAACTATACCCATGTTTACGTTTGACCTACATTGTCGGAAGCAAATTTCAATTTTTTTTTCTAGCAAAAATAGCTTTGTCATCCTCAGATAGCTTAAATATAT